CGAGTGTCGAAGGCGTGTCGAAGGCGTGTCGAAGGCGTGTCGAAGGCGTGTCGAAGGCGTGTCGAAGGCGTGTCGAAGGCGTCGAAGGCGTGTCGCTGTGCTCAGCGCCTGGTGCGCCTGCGACGTCCCCGCGCCCTGGATCTTTCGGAGACCTCGGGCTGACAGCAGCGCGCCAGCGCGCCAGCGCGCCAGCGCCCAGCGCCCAGCGCCCAGCGCAAGCACGGGCTGAGCTCCAAGCACTCGAGGGCCGGGGCAAAGTCATGGCACCCCCCACTGGTCGGTGTCCTCGCGCAACGCGGAACCGCTCTTCAGGATCAGGATCACATTTGGAGGCGCTGGGAAAGTTTAAGCTCCGCTAAAAGGCTCATGTTTGAAACTCGCAGCTACGCTTGCCTGCTGCCTGCCTATACAGGGCTACTGAGCGATAGCAAAGGGCAGTATGCGCCAGGTAGAGTGGTCTTGACAATGACGAAAAGCCTTGAAGAACGCCGAGATGGCCTCCCACTAGCCATAGAAACCCCCGAATCGACACTCTCTCTCGGTTTGCTCGGGTCCTCAGAGCGCCCATCTTCCAGCCACTCGCACCTGACTCAAGGCATAGCGCCCCGAAGCCCAGAACACGCGCGAGGCCGCGCTTCGGGAGAGGCGGCAGAAGATCACGCCCTGGGACCTCAGAATGTCGCTCGCCGAACAGTGGCCATGGAAGCCGTCAACCTGTCTCGGAGGCGGACGCAGGCTTGGACTTGAGCAAACAGTTGCACACCTGCGCCGCTTCCTCTCGCTGAAGCTATGGCTTGCCATTGCTTGCTGTTGCTTGCTATTGCTACGCGGGGCCGGCCTGGTGGCTCTTCCAAGCATCCACAGCAGCAACGGCGATGTTGCTGTACCTTCGCGTACGCGCACTTGTATCTAAAACATGCCTGCGCTTGCAAGTCGGTGTCACTTGCTGAGCTCTCTCCCTGATGGCGAGGACACGACCACGTAAATGTCCTAGGTGCCGACTCGAGAGCTGGCTGTTCGTCAGTATTCTCCAAGAACTCCTCCCAAGCTGTCTAGCCATGTCTAGCTCTTCCATCTATTTCTTGTTCGACTTGGCCAGGCGCTGTGGTGGAGGGTGGCAACTGGTCCAGTCGCACCTCACGCAAGCCAGAACACACGTTCATGTGCTCTCATGCGGCACGTGCCTCGAAAGAGGTCTTGCCAGTCCTGGGGAGCTCATCCAGAACCAAACCTGTCAAGGTCCGCACACACCAGCCAGACGTGCCAGACGTGCCAGACGTGCCAGGTCAGCAACTCGACTTTGCACAAACTTGCCCGGGCCTTCATGCTTGATGGCTCTGTTGGCTGCATCACTCTTGCCCACCTTGACTCCCAGCATTGCTTCAAACAAGCTGCCCTGGACATGTGCTCTGTATACAGCTGATTGCGATGCCCAGTCCGCTTTCAGCTTAGAATAGGCAACAGTTCAGACCTCCCAAAGTTCAGATCCTTTGCAGGTTTGCAATACGTCTCCGATTCCAGCTCGGTTTATGCGAAACCTAGACTACGGCTCCGTAAAGACATCCTCTCCAAAGCGTTGCCTTTGAAAGGAAAGTTCGCCGAACATGTCCGCTGGATATGGGCCGGGGCAAAAAGCCCAAAACACTTTTGGGGCTCTGCTCTCCATCAGCACGGCAGGCACCTAAAAGCTCTAAATGGCCTATATTTTTACGTGCGGGGTATGCAGACGAATTCACCAAGCCCTGCACTGGGCCAATCCACATGCCATCGTAGTCGACCACTCCGTTGTGCACGATCCGCACCTCGACTGGACGTGATGCCCACGTCGCGCGCCAAGGTCTCTGAGCTTCCGACACCATGGGGCCCGCGGTAGTCTACGATCTGAGCAAAGGTGCACAGTGTCCAATCCGCACTTCAGGCAAATCTGCAGACATGAGTGGTTCAGGCTTGCAAAGAAGCAGGTGCCTCCTGCAAACACCGCCCGGAAAATGTGATCAAAGCACCATCCTCACTGGCGCGTAACACAAAGGCCACGAGCTCTGCACTCACCCCGCACACATACAAATGTGAATGACATGCTCACACCGCGATAGCCATGTGCAGCGAGCACTTTTCCTCTGGGGCCTCTGCCAGGTAACTGTGATCCTTGCTGTCCGTGCGCTTGACTTCGCCGAACTCCCATCTCACCTCACAATGTCACAAGACAAGCCACACAGGACAAAGGAAATCAGATGTCACCAGCGCTGCCCTGCCTCCAGGTGCAAGTGGCCCAGCGGCTTGGCGGCTGCCGGCATGACCCTGAGCACTTTCGCCCGCGAATCACTCGATATCAGATCTACTCAGACTGGAACTCAAATGGTCCATCGACAATCAACTTCTCCGGCCTGAGCCTCTCCGGTTTCACCTTCTCGTTGGTGAACTTGAAAAACTCCTTGCAAAACAACGTGCCCAAGAAACTGACTACACAGGGGAATGCATCTGGTTTGAATCAAAGCAAGGCCCGGCATCGAGGATGGCTTCATGTAGGTTGCCTTTCAGCTTTTCCTCCAGCTGCTCACCTGAAGGAACCACAAAATGCGAAAAACCTGTCGCCTTGGCACCAGTCGCCTTTCGCGGTATCAGAAGCCTTGGCAGCTTGGCAGTCTGATGTCTGTGCTGGCTTCCACCAGCCTCGATGGCATACTGGACGGTCATGGTACTTGCACCTCACCCGGGTCACGGGTCACGGGTCAGTGCCCGGGTACTGACGGCGCGCAGGAACGGTGGAACCGAAAGCACAAAAAAGTCTGAGGCACCGATGTCTGGCTAGGACTTCGGCTGTCGATGTCCACGTTGGCCGCTTTGACCTCGTGAATAAGAAACTTGCGGTGGCAATCGGAGCGTGGCTGAGAGCCCAGCAGCTGATCGCGGAAGCTCCAAGTACCGCCTCACAGAATCCACCACCATGTTCTCCTGCACGCCCAAATGCACGAAGCCCTCGTTGATTTGAAGACGTGTTGACTTTGCTTACTTGCTGGCAACTGGAAATGAGACTGCATAGGGTAGCACTCTGGCGCGGCTGTATCCTGGGATGACGTCTCGTGCTTGCGCGGGAAGCCAAGCCTTAGACTCTCAGTTGTCTCACGGATCCTCACGATTTCTGAGTCGGCCAGCGCAAAGGGCGCGAGACGCCAAAGACGCCAATGGATCCAACTTCTCCAAGTAGCGCCTCTAGCTTGGCGATGGCGGCCTTGAGGTCGCGCGGCGAGCCGCTGCCTCGGGATTCGAGATCGCTCGATGCGCGAGCGCGGGTCGCACGCGTTCCTTCGTTCCGCGGCCGGTCGGTCAGATTCGGTTCCCAGTTTCCCGCTGGAGACGTTCATGGAGCCGATGCGCCAGTAGCCATCACCTCGCGGCGGTCACGGATTGCAGCAAAAGCAAAAGCGAGAGATCGAGGCACCGGCCCAATTTGTAGATGGCGCACATGATGACCACAGCCTGGCAGGCGTACACCTTTGAAGATCTTGCCTGGAGATCCCCCTCGCTCCTCAAACGTGAGCTGGACCCTATGGTCCTGGCTGCTTTCAGCTCCGGCGCAATGCACGGCATCGATCTTTTTGACTACGAGTCTCTCTCCTCTTGCATTGCCAGAGTGGTGCCGATGTCCGTGTCCGCCTCACAGCTCTCTGGGTCACTCCGGGTCACTCCGGGTCACTCCGGGTCACTCCGGGTCACTCCGGGTCACTCTGGCCACTCCCGATCTCACAAACCGGGCTTCGGGTCAGAGCCCCCGACAATTCGAAAGCCCAGGTGCGTGAACTTGCCCAGCTCACGAGAGTTTGTGGCCTGCGTCGGGCTCGCGATGCTCGCGTCACCCTTCAAGCCACGCCATGCAACCAAGGAACGGCCAAGAGGAAGAAAATGTCAGTCACACGCTCCGGCAAGAGATCCAATCGGACCTTGCCAGCTGCTGAGCTTACCCATACAAGCGACTTGCAGGCAACAGGCAATCCAAGACAGGGGCTCTCTCTTTCCAACCACGACTTTTTCAGGCAACCCGGTTGGCACCTGCATCTGCTGCTTGCAGACCATCTTCCCCTCCAGCGAAGACCTCACGCTGCAACAGCACAGAGATTCGGCTGCTCGCAGCAGGTCTTTGCGAGACCAAGAATGGTGCCACTACAACCAGCCCTCGCAAGACTATGAGACTCCAAGACCCTGAGTTCTGCGCTGGAGGTCTGAGCCAGCCTCCGCCCTTGCGGTGCCCAAATGGGACACCGCACCGAAGAGGGCGTCCACACCCTGGCAACTGCCCGTTGCCCGTTGCCCACAGACTTGATTCAACTGCCTTCGACTGCACCCGGAAGGCGCCCTGGTCCACGCCGTAGTAGGCACCGTGCACGCCTGCCGACAGCTTCCGCTTCAAACCGCCAGGGGAGCCAGGGGAGTGACGGGAGCCAGGAGAGCCAGCGGGCCTCGGGCCTTGGGAACTTCCCGCCTCGGGCATTCACCACCTCCACGAGGCCATCGGCGCTCATCGCCTCACATGCGGCTTGGGCCCCAGGCCCCACGACGCCGAGAGTCCCGAGAACGCCGCGACGCAGGTGGCGTCCATCGTCTCCCTGTAACTGGCGGGCTGTGTCCAAAACCTCAACTGATTGCACACCGTGTGGATTGTGGATGGCGCTAAAGATCCTGGCTTGAAGCGAATCATGATCCCCCACATCATGCACTGGTCTATGCCTTGCGTCCCTTGGGTCAGGGCAGCTCCGCCGTGATTCGCCGCAACACGCGGCCGCGGACATCATGAAGGCCTCAGAGTGGGGTCCCCGAAACGCACAGCGCGACCGAGACGCTGCAGCGGGCAGCCCGCGCCACGCAACACCCGCACCGCCTCTTTTTCTCACTGCCTCCGGAAGCTGCCTGCAAACTGTTTCGAGCTCACCTCCCTTGCAGCTCTCATGAGCCCGTGTTTCATATTATATCTGCGATATCGCAATTCTAAGCTAGCAGTTTGCACGCTGCATTGAATGCCAGATTGAATGTGACTACAAATGTATTTGAGCAGGTCTCGCCTTGCAATCTGCACTTTGGTGGACTGGCTGAGGAGCCAAAGTCCCGGCTGCCCACCTGACACAACTCACCAGATCGGAGCGCATGCGCCGCATCCGAGCCCGGCACGTGCGGCAATGGGCCGCGGAAGCTCGACTGCCTCAAATCAAAGCAGACCTCCCAATAATAACACGAGCAAACTCGTTAACACTCCGTTTGCGCCTCGTCAATCATGTGACAAATCGGGCCAACGGCCCAAATCTTCTGCGGTCCTTCGCATTGCGCTGGCCGCCTACCAGGGAAGCGGGTCCAGGGCCCACTAATACGTTTTGCGTAGAGGTGAGCAGAATGCACGATTGAATCCGGCGGTTGATTTTTTGTCGTCAGCTGCCAGCCTCTGCTCGGAGATATGGATGAGGCCGACTGGCGCAAAGGTTCCCTCGCTTCTCTTTTATTGAAGTCCACTTGCACTGTCGGGCCTATGGAGGAGGAAGGCAGACTACATTCGCGTGGTGCGTCCGGCCATGCCTCCGACATCCTCGATGCCAGCGAGAGCCCCGGTGTCTTGGAACACCCAAAAACGGCGAGCCCGGAGTGCAGCCCGGCTACCGACACGCCCAATCAGCACCGAGCGCAGCCAAAGGCTGGGAGCCCACATGCAGCGCATACCTCAGCCCAGAGGCTTACAGCTCGGGACTGACCCCGGATCCGATCGGAGGTCCGATTCTGAGTGATTGCTCCCAACCAACGAGCGAAGCGCGCGCCAGGATGCCAGCCACGCGGGATCGCCCAGGATCGGTTCTCGATCTTCTTACGGCCAGTCACCATTGCCTCTGCGCGAGTCCTACCTCTTAGGCGCTCACTGCCTCTGGGAAGCAGCACCAGCTGTTTGCACACAACGCATCTGTGAAACTGAACGGCGCAATAATTGTTCAATCAAAGCCTGCTCACCTTAGGTGTTGGCAAGACCGTGCTCCCTATAAATGGCACCGCTTTATCCCACACCCGCAGCTGAGTCACAATCAAACCTGGCATTCAAGTGGTCCACTCACAATCATGTAAAGAATTAAGAAGGCGGCCGCAACTATATCTTCACTTACCTGGGGTTTGATCGTGACTCAGCTGCAGTTGCACTCGTTTGTCCCTTATGGCTCCACGCGGTCCAAGAACACCAGCGGGTTAAGCTTGACCATTTCACATGTTCCCAGTTTGGGAACAATTCACCCCCACGGTCCGGAAGTTAAGAATCATCACCATTTGGCCACACAACGGTTCAAAACTTGTTATTTAGATGCGCATGGCGAATTGGCCTTTGGCCCGTCCCGACGTCAATCCCTAGTTCTCTGTTGTCTGCCTCAAGCGCCTGAGGCTACACGCAATTTGCTCAGACTTTGAACTCCACTGCTTCGCCCGAAATGGACCCTCGTTTGCGCGGAGCTGGTTTTGCGCTCGCTCGTCTCAGCGCGCGAGGTCCACAAGCGTGAACATACGAACAGGGCGGTTCAGGACAGCGCATCGCGGAACGGGATCGGTGTGGAGCAAGACCGTCCTCCTGCTTTCCCACGCGTTGGTGACTGCAGAACGTCACCATTCTTGACGCCCGGGGGCGGCTGGTCGACAGTGCAATAGCAACAGTGAGGATTCCCCGGAACATCTCCACGCGATTCTCGTACTTACGAGGAAGCTTTTTCAGAACGGGCTGGTCGTAGTGGTGCAGGCATTTCAGCCAACCGCCGTATCCAGGTGACCATTTCACATGTTCCCATTGTGGACCTGTAGTTCGGGCATGATTCACAAAAAAGGACTCCAGGAAATCACTTCAAGTGCACATATTCCGTCCTACAAGTGAGATCTGCAAGCGAGGGCGAAACTCTCACGGTCAAAAACTGCCATGGATATGCGGGACACTCTTCATGAGGTTGAGTCATAGTTTCACTTCCAAAACCAGCAGACCGAGTCGGATCGAAAGAAGGAAGAAACAAAAACAAAAGAAGGAAGGCCTTCCGACTTTCGACTTCCTCACTGCCCATCCAGTATCCGGCTTCCCGCTTCCCGCTTTGGGCTTTCGGCCAGGGCTCCAGGCCCTGCTGCGGGCCCTGCACCGTCAGCGCGTGGGTCACCTCCAGCTCACTGCGAGCTCCTTCCGGGCTGCGTGGGTAGCCGTCCCAAGTGTCTCGGCGCTTTAAGGACTTTATACTCGTTGGATGCGCTTCTCATCTATCGTGCACTTCTTCAATGTGAAACCTTCAGTCAGCCACTTAGGCTCCGATGCCATTCTCTGTGCTTTCAGGGGGGGGGAACAGGCGAAAAAGCTGCGTTGCTGGCAACAACATCCTCTCCCCGTCTCCTCTTGCGCATGTCTCCCTCGCGCGTGTTTCGCGCGTCTCGAGCGTCTCGCCCGTCTTGCGCGTCTCAGCCGGGGCCCAGATCCGGGCCCCTCGTGGGCCTGGCGCCACAATGCGCACAGTAAGAAGCGCACGAATCGCAGGCGAAGTCTTCGGTCTGAACATCCAGCCTTCGTGCGAATCCCTTCGGTCTGCCCGTTGTCGCGTCTCTGGAGCTGGAACCTGACAGCGCGACGAGCCAGGCACATCCGGCCGCGGATGGGCTCCGTGCCTCTGGCTGGTTCCACCAGTCCTCTCCTGCCAGATTGCTCACTGGGACTTTGGATATTGGACAAAAATCGAAGTTTCGAAGCTCCTTGCCAATCCGAGCTGGACCACCATGCCTGCTCCTAGGATTGCTGTCAACTCGGCTCGCTCATGCGAGTGCATGCCGAATGCCGAGGCACCCAGCTCCAGGCAGACCACTGGCCTGAGATTTGTGTGTTTCTTTTTCGGTCAGGCGATCCTTTAACAAGGCCCATCGCGAGATCCTGAGTTTGATGGTCCGATCTGTCCGATTTCTCCGAATTTCTCCGATTTGCTTGGATGCATGCAAACATGTGGCTTCTCGCTCCGGTCTGGCGCCCAGGCCTGGATACCATGTGCGGGTCGGCATGGCGTCGGCTCATTCGAGCGTTCGAAACACGGGTCAACTCGTGCTTGTCGTGCTCCCACCCCAAATACGGGTCCCAAGTGATCCCAAATCCAACCACAGGAAAATGCACTTGCCACTGAGGTGCACTTGCCTGTCGAGCCACGAGGGAAAATCAGGGCGTAGGCAAGTGAATATGAATGGCGCCTGAACAGCTTGAGCATCCCGCAATGGCTTCTCAGCTCAGGTGATCGACTGTGGCCCAGTTCGCCTGGGCACTCGACCGCGCCCGAGCACTCAGACACATGTTGCGGGGCCCAGGCTCAAACAGCTCCACAGGGCCTTGATCGCCTAAGGGCGCACCGAGCCAACCGTCGCGAGTTCGCGAGTTTTCTGGCGCAGCACATCGCGTCACTGAGTGCGGGGGCGTGGCGCTTGGACATGGACTTGGACCGGCGATAGCCCTTTGAATTCTCGCGGCCTTCCCACGTGCGAAGGCCCCAACTCACTGCCCCTCACTCTCACACTCTCACACTCTCACTCTCTCGCCCCGCCGGGCTCATCCTCCGGGTCCCTGAAGAACGCCTCGAATCGAATCGAGTCGGATCGAGTCGGATTTTGAGGCGTCGGAACATCTGCCTCAATGACCTCCTGGCAGCTGGTGCGTGCGCTCAGGTAGAGGGAGATGGGCAGCGTGACATCACGGTAGGCGCCGTCGTCCTTTTGCATGCGCGAACCTTTGAAGCGACACCTGTGTGCTTCCCTTTGGCAAGTTCTCCAACTCCATCTCAGAATCTCCCACTCATCTTCTTTTGGCTTAGAGTCAGAGAGGCTCAAAAAGACTCGGAAAGACTCGGAGAGACTCGGAGAGACTCGGAGAGACGCCGAGAGACGCGAGTCACGCGAGTCACGCGAGCCAAGCGCGTCCTGGATCTCCATGGAGCCGATGCGGCGCAGCTCGTCCTCCTCCGCCAGCATGGCCCGAAGGCTCTCCAGCAGCGCGTCCAGGCTCTGCCGCGCCTCCTAGCGCTCGACAGCGATCGAAAGAAAGATGCAGAATCGGAGAGACTCGGAGGGAATCGGACATGGACCATGGAAAGATGGAAAGATGGAAAGAGAAGGAAAGAGAAGGAAAGGGAAGCCAAAACGAAAGGCCACTGGAAGGGGGTCCAGCTGTTTCACAGCGTCCGAACTTCTCCAATGTCAAACAGGCTCACATCCTGGGGCTCCCTGCCATGACAGGCTCCTTGTCGGGGGACAAGTCTGGCAAGGGTATCCGAATCTTCGCCTAGCAAGGAAAGCGCATCCAGCACACAGCATGCTGAAGAGGACCACGTGACTCAGTCGACTCAATTTTTGCTCGGCCTCGACGATTTCCCGGGGCAAGGTGATGAACTCCTTCTGGATGCCCCGTGGGTACAGGTCCAGCTGCACTTCACCCGACACCACCACGGCCGGGAGCTGCACCACCTCGACCTCGAGTTCCTCCGCCTCCTCTCGGCTCAGAACTCGACTTACCGTGCCTTTTTGTATTTTTTGTAGACATATTTTGATGCCGTCCCTCCAAGTTCCAAGCTACACTCTCAAGGACTCCAGGCGAGCCTCGCCCTCCTCAATCTTGTCATACACGGCAGGCCTGGGCCCAGGTCGCCAGGAACGGCCAGGAACGCCAGGAACGGCCGGCATGGCATGCACCAAGCTTCTGGCCAGTCATTGCGAATCCGCTGCTTATGGATGTCCTCCTACGAGCGGCACCGAGCAAATACATCAAATGCAAACCCAGTGGCCAATGTCGCCTGACACAGAAATATCGTGTGGACCAAAGACGCAAAATGTTCCCAAAGTGTTTGCAAGGTTGACCCAATCGAGGAAAACTAGCAGCAAATGCAAGAATAGCTTTCTGATTCTGACAAGCGCTGATCTCGCCTGAAGCTTGCGGATGTTGGCTTCCTCGGCTGCGCCACGCGCCACCCGCCACCCGCCGCGTTACGCGGATCCGAGCCCACTGCCTGCTGTTGGTGCGCCAGCTGCCGGTAGTTCTCCAAGTCCAGCTGCTCCACCTCGCATCTCGGATCTTTTCCAGAGACTCCTACACCCTTCCGGAGTCCCACCCCTCTCCGACTCCTCTCCCAAAGACTCTCCCAGCCCTCTCCCATTCGCCTGGACGCCCAGCGCGGCGGCGTTCCGGGCGCGGTGCAGCAGCCCCTGGAGCGCCCGGAAGTCCTCGGCCTCCGCGGCCTGCCTCAGGTGCCGCTCCAGGCGCCCCAGCTCGCCCTCCTTCAGCTCCTCCAGGATGTGACACGCCGACGCCAGGTCCTTGGCTCGGAGAGCTCGGATCGCGGAGAGTCTCAGGGACGAGTCGTCTCCCGCTTTTTGTTGCTTCTTCGGTAACATCTGTCAGTTATGTCAGCTATGTGTTGGTCGTCAGTCTTACGCACGCTCTAAATGTGTGCTACTTTCTCAATCTTCCGTCTCGGATGATTCAACCTCTGGGACGGAGTTGAGGCGGAACCCCGGGCCTTCTCAGGCAGCCCATCGTCCTTCTGGGCCTCCTGCACGGCCGCGAACAGGCGCTGGAGGTCCATCGACTGGCGAGGCAACATGCTCACAGTGTCAGAAACGAAAACCAGCGCTTCTGAAGACAATTCGAAGCGGGGTTGGCAACGGCCGAAGCGCCGAAGCGGGTCGCCTCTACTGCCTTGGCCAGCTGCTGCCTCAGCCGCAGCAGGTTGTCCAAGATCTGCCGGGCGGTGAAGAGCAGATCCTGCGCAAAAACGCGTAGAACGCGCTTCACGACTTCGCGCTTGCGGAAGGTCTCTCTGGGCCCCCGGCGCTGTCCACCACGTTGTTGTTGCAGGCGTCCTGCAGGGACTTTTGGATGATCTCGGCGTCGCAGGTGTCCAGCGCCTCCCCGCCCCCCTCACCATCCTCACCCCGTTTTACGCAAGGCTTTGCTGAGAGCTCCCCCGGCTTTCCCCCCGGTTTCCCCCGCGTTTCCCCCCCACCTCAGCCAGGTCCACGGCCGCCTGGTCCGAGCGCTGCAGCGCCGCCAGCGCCGCCGCTGCCGGCTGCAGCTGCTCCTCGCGAACATCCAGAGCACTTCGCGGACCTCTTGGAACGAACTGGGCGCAAATTCGACGCAAATTGGACGCAAATTGGACGCAAATTGGACGCATTCCGCAGGAATTTCATCTTTTTTGCGCTGCTTTGGAAGTCCTGGCAAATGTTGCTGTTCTCCGTGTTGGCCAGCGCTTGCCGAAGCCGAGCAGTGTTGGCCATGGACACCTGGACTCAGCTCCGGTGCACATCCCACGCGTGCCCAGGGCGCACCGCGATCTCCAGCTCCTGGGTGAGGTGCGACCAGCGCTGGTGCACTTGCCGCAGTTCCGCCTCATTCAAAACTTCACGTTTTCAAGAACCACAAAAAATCGAATGCGGTGAACGGCACGTATCAAGGCACAAGTGCGAGCCACTCGCATGTCGGGGGGCCGGCCACCTCCTGGTCTTTGACCCCAGCCACCTGAATTTGTCTGGCTCTGGGTCTTGTCTGTTGGGTGGGTCGTGTCATTGCTGAAATTCATGTACATATATATATATATATATATGGTACCCCCCCCCAGTACCCAGGTGTCGTTGCATCATGTATCAAAATCATTGATATTTACAGTGTATTTGGATTGAACTCATGCATTTCTGCACGGCCATTTTGTGGACCAAAAACCAAAAAAAACAAAAAACCGAAAAAACCAAAAAAAACAATCCTAGCCCCCACCATGGCTGGGATTCTTTGGTTTTTTGTTTGAGGTAAAGGAAACCTCGAGGAAAATTACCTCGCCAGGTAAAGGAAACATTCGGGAATCTTACCTGGCCAGGTAAAGCCCGCTTACCTGGCGAGGTAAAGGACACCCGGAGGAAAATTACCTCGCGAGGTAAAGGAAAACCTGGAGGAAAATTACCTGGCAAGGTAAAGGAAACATTTGGGAAACTTACCTGGCCAGGTAAAGTCAGATTACCTGGCGAGGTAAGGGACACCCGGAGGAAAATTACCTCGCGAGGTAAAGGAAAACCTGGAGGAAAATTACCTCGTGAGGTAAAGGAAACATTCGGGAAACTTACCTGGCCAGGTAAGTTTCCTGGCTCCGGATCCTACCTGGCCAGGTAAGTTTTCTACCTTGGGATTTTACCTCGCGAGGTAACAACCCGGGCCCCGAATGTTACCTGGCCAGGTAAGTTTTCTGCCTTGGGAATATTACCTCGCGAGGTAAAGGAAACATTCGGGAAACTTACCTGGCCAGGTAAGTTTCCTGGCTCCGGATCTTACCTGGCCAGGTAAGTTTTCTGGCTTGGGATTTTACCTCGCGAGGTAACAACCCGGGCCCCGAATGTTACCTGGCCAGGTAAGTTTCCTGCCTTGGGAACATTACCTGGAGAGGTAAAGGAAAACATTCGGGAAACGTACCTGGCCAGGTAAGATTCCTGGCTCCGGATCTTACCTGGCCAGGAAAATTTTCTGGCTCGGGATTTTACCTTGCGAGGTAACGACCCGGGCCCAGACTGTTACCTGGCATTACCTGGCTAGGTAAGTTTTCTGCTTTGGGCACAAGCGCTTGCGAGGTTGACTGCCCGGCCCCAGCCTTGCAGTCTCGTGTCTTCTGTGTCCTGCTGGATGCCGTGGATTAAGGCCTGGCATGCCAGCGGCGCAAGGGGGGTTTCGGGGGGTCTTCCCCCCGGTCCTGCGCGCCTCTTCGACAGGACAAGGTTGGCCTGCTCGCTAATCTGCATGGCTAGCTGGAAGAGAACGGCCTGCCGGGCTAGGCGCAAGCGCTTGCTAGGTTGACTGCCCGACCCCTGCAAGTCTCGTGTCTTCTGTGTCCTGCTGGATGCCGTGGATTAAGGCCTGGCATGCCAGCGCAAGGGGGGTTTCGGGGGGTCTTCCCCCCGGTCCTGCGCGTCTCTTCGACGCGACAAGGTTGGCCTGCTCGCTGATCTGCATGGCTAGCTGGAAGAGAACGGCCTGCCGGGCTAGGCACAAGCGCTTGCTAGGTTGACTGCGTGCCTGCGCAAGCAACGGACACGCAGTTTGTCGCGGATGCAGATTTCCAACTCTTTCCTTTTCTACGCGGGGGTGAAAAATCTGGCCGTCGGTCTGTCCAGCCAGAAGAGTCTCTCCAGCGCGCGCACACGCGTGATGGCCACGTACCCGACGGCCGGAGCGCCAAGGTCTGGCAGTATGGCCACGGCCTCCAGCGTCCGGCCTTGGACTTTGGCCACGGTGCATGCGTACGCCAGCTCCAGCGGCAGGCCTTGCGGCCGACGTTCGGCTGCCGGTCGCCGTGGAGACACAGTCATCGTGGCGCCGCTGTCTAAGTGAACTATCACGCACGTGCGGCAGAGTCGCACGATGGCGCCCAGCGCACCGTTCACCTCTCCGCGAGCCTTGTTGATGTTCATGTTCAGCATGATTCTTGCTCCGACTGCCAGAGGGGTCGCAGCGCTGCTCCAGGAATCGCCATTCCGCACAAGAAGCGTGCGGGCTTCGCTTCTTCGAAAGAGGTAATGAAACACGTCCCTGTTCAGCTGCGCGGCAGTGGCGCGACGGCCTGCCAGCAAAAGGCCTGTAGGGAATCGCTGGTAAAACCTCTGCATGTCCTCCAGCCACGGTCGCTCGCGCCCCAGCACGCGATTCCCAATCAGTCTTGCCAGAGTCGCCCGCCCCGGGCGAAGACTGCGCACTTGCGCTGTCAGGGCGCTGAACTGTCTGTCCGCACGATGCTGCGCGCAAAGGGTTCTCTGCACGACCTGTGGCCACCACGCTGACTGCGCAGCGGGGCCACTGCCGTCCGGAGGGTCTTGCTGCGAAAAATCCCCCCCGAAGATGAGACTGCAGCACCGCCCGGCCAGAGCCCAGGACTGCATTGCATACTCGAAGCGCGCGCGCCCAAGATATCCAATCTCGTCCACGAGGACTAAGGAGTCATTTACGAGATCGTACGGAGTTGGACACTCTGCGCTCATTGCAGGAAGCCATCGAAAGTGTCCACTGTCACTCGCTCGTTGGCCAGAAACAGTTGGCGATAGTCCTCCGCCAGCGCTCCAGTCGGTGTGCAGATTGCTACGTTGAGTGAACCGGATACTTCGCCAAGCAGCGCCGCCATGACACGGGACTTGCCACTCGCGGATCTCATGGAGCACCTCCTCGTAGAACCCTCGCTGGTCTGGCGCCAGATCCGCAACGTGCGGGCGTTCCGCGGCAGAGTGCCACTGTAACTGGCCAGCCCGGATGAGATCGCAGACCTCCGCCGCCGCGTGGTAGTGGGCTTTCACGGCTTCGATAAACTTGAGTCTGTGTCCTTCCAGTTTCAACTCGGCCCCAAGATTCTCCAGGTCGCCCCAGAACTCCGGAGCCAGCAGGCGACACGCGTGAAAATTGCGGTAGTCTGTCGGCAGCCTGCAACATTCCTCCGGAAGGCGCGGCCAGTCGCTCCAAGGCCGCCAGGCGCACAGCCATTGGCCGCAGAAGAAGTCCGAGAAGCGGCTTGCGTAGAGCACCCCAACAGCGCAGCCGAAGCCGCGAGTTTCGCGGTATGGCCTTGGAGTCTCCAGGTCCTCTCGGTAGCTGCGCAGCCACTCCACGAAGCACATGTCATGCGGGCGACGCGCGCACCGGACATACTTCCCGAAAGAGGGATGCAGCTGGCACGTCTCGAGGCTCGGCACGTGCACTTCTTTGGTGTAGCAGCTAAAGGTGCAGAGAGACTCTGAGTGCAAGGAGGCCACCATTTGTGCGGCAGACGGTGCTAGATGGCGCAGCATGCCGTACGCCGCTTGCACGCCGCTCGTGCCCTGCACCAGCATAGTGGGGCTGAGAGCGCTGCTGGCCTTGGTCGAGTAGCGGACATAAGCTGCTGTGTATTGCGTGACATCTGCGGCATTGCGCACGACCTGCACATCCTGGTGACACAGCCGCGCAAGGCAGAGCGTCTGAAAGTATGGCCGCACACACGCGTCCTTGCTGGCTTGACTGCGCTGGACCCGTAGCTGCCACCTCTGGTCGCCATCTCCCAGTGTCCAGTGCGTAGGTTGCTGCTGGACAGGCAGGTTGCACACCAGCAAATGTACGTGCGGCAGGCCAGTGCCGTCCCGCTGTGGAACATTGGGTCTTGCAGCGTTCGGGCCGCGCGAGCGCGTGCCCTCCTGAAACTCCACTCGGTGCAGCCAGGCTCGCACGCAGGTGCGCCGCTGAGTTGGTAACCAAAATGGCGAATACGGGCCAGACAGCAAGTACTTGGTCACCACCTGCTTTAGAGCGTGCAGAAGATGCAGTACCTCGATGACAGCATTGCTGAGCAGCGGCGCGCCGGCCCTCTCGGCTTCATCTCTGATCCAGGCGTGCCACTGTGCGCTGTACGCCCCTGGCGCCAGTGTGACATAGTAGCTCGCTGGGCCGTCGATGAGTATCCACCAATCGCATGTGGTTCAGGTAGCTGCAGTACGGTGTCTCGCTAAGGTCCGCCATGGCGTACTTCAGCTCCAGGTTTTGGTTTTTGGGTTTTTTGGTTTTTTGGTCCAGGGAAATGTTGCGCAACATTTGCGGAGCATGAGAGGATATGTGAACCTTTGTGAAAGAAGGCATGTTCTGGGTGAGAGGATATGTGAAGTTTCTGTAGAGAAGAGTTATTGAAAAAGACATGTTTTGTGTGAGATGATATGTGAGTCTTTGTGGAAGAGTCAGGGTTACAGTGATTCATAAAGTACAGCAAAAGACAGTAAACATCATGTAAAACCACCATGTATGTAACACAAACTGTCCCAGCCATAGCCTAGCTGTATTCTACACAGGGTTCACTTTCCTTGGGAACTCTTTCACATATGCTGCCTTCGTTTCATTGAAAGAAGACATGTAAAAAGACATGTGTTGGGTGAGAGGATGTGTGAATTTTCTGTGGAAGAGTCTTTGAATGAAACAAGGCATGGTTTGTGTGGGAAGATATGTGAATTATTTGTGGAAGAGCCTCTGAAAGAAGGCATGGTTTGTGTGGGCGGATAGGTGAATTGAATTTTGTGTGGAAGAGCCATTGAAAAAGGGCATGGGGTTGGTGAGAGGATATGTGATTCCTTGTGAAAGAAGGCATGCAAAAAGACATGATTTGGGTGAGAGGATGAACGAATTTTCTGTAGAGAAGAGTTATTGAAAAGACATGCTTTGTGTGAGATGATGTGTGAATATTCTGTGGAAGGGTCTTTGAAAGAAGGCATGGTTTGTGTGGGAAGATATCTGGGTTTTCTGTGGAAGAGCCTTTGAAAAATAGCATGTTTTGGTGAGAGGATATGTGAACCTTTGTGAAAGAAGACATGTTCTGGGTGAGAGGATATGTGAATTTTCTGTAGAGAAGAGTTATTGAAAAAGACATGTTTTTGTAAGAGATGATATGTGGGTCTTTGTGGAAGAGTCAGGGTTACAGGGATTCATAAAAGTACAGCAAAAGACAGCACATACGCTGCCTTGTTCCATTGAAAGAAGACATGAAAAAAAGACATGTGTTGGGTGAGAGGATGTGTGAATTGTCTGTGGAAGAGTCTTTGCATGAAACAAGGCATGGCTTGTGTGGGAAGATATGTGAGCTATCTGTGGAAGAGCCTTTGAAAGAAGGCATGGTTTGTGTGGGAAGATATGTGAATTGAATTTTGTGTGGAAGAGCCATTGAAAAAGGGCATGGATCTTTCTTCAATCAGGCAAACCTCCTTCCTCCCAAACCTGGGTACCTCGGGGGGGGGGTAGCATATATATATATATATATATATAGTACATTAGTCACTTTGCGCGCGAGTTATCTTGCCCCAGTCTGATTACATTAAGTCATCATAATATCTTAGTTTGTTTCTGAAGCTGAACGTGCATTCAAAGTTAGGCAGCTGTTCGCATCCTAACTTGTTTTCAGGCTTCAGTGACAGTGCGTTAGAACGCAGAAATGATTGGCATATGCCACGAACGGGTTCTTGAGTTCCTGTTTGGGCCGCTCGTTGTCAAACAATTCTCTACCTGCTGCTGTGTAATCCGAACACTGTTCGAATAGGATTTGGCAAGTCAATCAGAGCTGTGATTAATGCGTGACTGGAAAACAAACAAAGCATTCATTGCATTGCCGCAAGTTGTTCTCTTCCGCGAAGTTGTGTGGCTAGAACCGTGTTTTCTCCTGATCTCACACGTTGCTCTCACGTACCGCACACGAGCAGGACATGCAACCTGATCATGCGTCATATTCTCTCGCAGCATCCGCAGTGTTCACATCCACTCAAAACCAAAACCTCAAAACAAAACAAAAAAGTGGCACTCCTCATGCTGCCCCGTTCTGCGACTAATATGGAAATTGCAAGAATACCTTAAGACTTTGTCCCTTTCAAGCTCCCCCCAGCTGTGACACCGTGACACCGCGGCACCCCGTTCGGGGCCTCCGCCAACTTCAGGGCCCGGCGCGTGGCGGGCACGTCCCCCGCCTCGCAGACCTGCAAGCCACGCAGCGCGCAGCGGGCAGCGGGTGGGTGTTGCGCGGGCGGGTGTTGCACGGGTGCACCTGGTGCAGGTGGGTCAGGCAGTGCAACTGCTTCTCCGCAATGGCCAGAAGTTCGTGGGGAACCTGAGCTCTGGCTTCGCATTCAAATCACTCGAATGGCGCTAGGTGCGCCTTGGCATTGACGGCGGCACGAAGGGACGCGCTGCGCTGCTCAGAGCCCACGGCGGCCTGCGCCCGAAACACAAGGCTTAGCTTCAGTTTCGAGATTTCAAGGCCCAAAGGCACTCCGAGAGAAGGCGTTGCGCCTCCACGTCAGCCAGCAACGACTCCAGCTGCAGAAGCAAGTCCGCGCCCTGCGTCAGTTGCCAGTCAACAGTCGTCACAACAGTCGTGGCAGGGCACGCGCTCATGCTCATGCAAGCTCTGCTCTCCACTTGACGGTCACTGACGCCTCTTGCATCTTGGCCTGTTCAACTTGCGACCTCGCACGGACGGGCGCATTCAAGATGTAACTGCAACTCGGCACTTGCCGCTGCAAAACTCTGGGTGACCGGACGCCGCAGAGATATCAAGGGCGTCCTTGAGCTGCGACGGGAAGCGCGCCTCAAGGGGCCACTAAGCCAAATGAAGCTAAGCCCTCAAGCAACACCAGCCTCAAGCCCCACAAGCAAAGCAAGAAACACAAGAACCTGAAAGAAGTTCAAACTTCCCCTTGAACTCTTGGCTTCGGCTTTTCTGTCTCGACGCTGCCTCGATGGCATCGGTGAGGGCGCGGGTGGCGTCCTGCTGCTTCTCCAGCTGCCGCGCGAGCAGCCGCTGGGCGCGGGCCATCAGCTCCTCCTCCCGCAGCCCGCTGCGCGCCTACGGCGAATTCGGAGGCGGGGCTCCTCCTCCCATTTTGCATGGCGACATGCGTTTGCAGAGGCAAAATCGGAGAGATCTTCGAAAACCAAGAATGGGACTGCGACTGGTTTGCGAGTTTCGAAGGTCCAAAGAAGAAATGTTCAGAGAATTCAAGGAGAACTCGGAGAAAGGAGAAGCAGATGAAGAAATGAGGAGAAGGGAGAGAACCAGGCACGAGGTCTGAGGGTCTCTCAGTCCCTGGCGGCCGAGTCCAGAGCCCGATGCAGGTCTCCGATGTCCTCAGACTCCAAGGCCGCCTGCAGCAGCCGCTCAGACCCGCTGATGGCCAGAAGCAGCCTCCTCGAGAAGCAGCGAAGCAGCGAAGCACCGAAGCAGCGAAGCTTGAGAAACACTTGGCCCATGCGACGTGCTTTGCGTTTCTTGGGCTGGCTCACTGAGCAAGCTCCAAGCGTCACGGCCGCCAGCCGCCCTCTTGAAAGGATCACTTTCACCGCAGAGGCTCGGCTCGGCTCGGCTCCTGGCTGCTTCCTCGGAGGGGAGGTGCATGTCCAGGGCCGTGTCCAAGGCTGCCCTCAGCACCGGCACGCGCGCCGCCTCCATGGCCATCTCCAAGCCTTGCTGGGCTGCCTCGCGAAGCTGTGCACAGGGACATGCAGTGAGACACTCGCGATGAGACAATCGTGGCGGACCGTGTGTACTCTGTGTCAGAAGTCAAAAAGTCTCAACATCTACATCTTCAGAGCCGTCCCCGTCGCTCCCTCACCCATTCGCCTCCCGCGTGCCCAGGCGCTGCACGGCACGCTGCAGCAGAGTGGGCGGCAGCCGAGCCTGAAAAGGAACACATGCACCCAAAGAGGGGATTAAACAAACGGCACCAAGACAGCCACCCAAGAGAAGAAAGTAACAAGTAATGGGGACTTTGGACTCGGCAAGTTCTCATGGACAGAACATGTTCCAACCGGAACCCGTGCGCCTCGTGTCCCTCACGCAGCGAGGCCCGCAAGGCATCGATGCCCCTGAGAAAGCGTCTGACTCTCGCATCTGGCTTCTCGATTCTGGTCGGCTGCTCGTTGACAGGGAGCCGGGGTGCCGGGCTTGGCGGTGTCCAAATTCTGGCAGACGCGCTGCAGGGTGCCGAGCAAGCCTTCGGCCTGGCATGATGGGCCATGCTCGAGATACTTGCGCTAAGATCTGGCATATCTGGCCTGTTCCAGGCCCGGCAGAAAGACCTGCGCGCAACCAGCCACTCGGGTCGGGGTTTCTATGGAGCCCGCACACCCCCGCGCCCCCGCACCCCACCTTGTGCGCATCGCTCAGGGAGTTTTGGAGCCGGTCCGGGTCGCGGGCCGCCATGGCTTCCTCCACCTTGCGAGAAGCGAACGAAGCGAACTCCGGAACCGAAGCGAAGCGAACTCCGGGCGGAGCCTCCTTCTGCACCGTCTGCAAGATGTTCAAGAGGTCGGAAGCCTCGCGAAGGTCATCGGCGCCCTTCACTGCGCATCCGTCAACGGCCTCTGAGACCAAGCTCTTGTCATCAAACTCGATGTCCCGCACATCCTGCGTCCAAAGCTTGGGGACGCAAGGAAGGACGAAAGAAGAAAGAAGAAAGAAGAAACCACTTTGCAGCGCGTCACTGAATCACGATTTGCCGAGGGGCAGGAAGTTGATATTGCTCTTCACGAGCGTGGGGAGTCTCATGTGATGTTGCTCTTTTCACTGTGAGGGGATCATCTGATGTTGCTCTTGCCGCGCATCCAGTTTCCTCTGTGAGAGAGCTTGCATCTAATGTTGGTCATACCGCGTACCACGCTACACTGTGAGGGACTTTCCTTGACGTTGCGCTTGCGGCGCATCATGTTTCGCTGCGAGGGGACTTTCATTTTAGGCTGCTCTTGCGGTCGCGTCAAGTTTCGCTGTGAGGGGACTTTCAGTTTGTATTGCTTTCATACAATGTTGCTTTTGCGGCGCAACACATTTGGATGTGAGGGACTCTCGTTGATCACGTTTCGCTGTGAGGGGACTTTCACTTGAGGCTGCTCTTGCGGTCGCATCATGTTTCAGTACGTTCTGTCATGTAGCTACATACTTCAAGCGCAAACTTGGTCCTGCAAGACCCGCGCAAGCTTCTCCGGCACGCGCTGCTCCATGGCCTTGTGAAGCATACGAGCCACACCCCACAGGCACCCACCGCTCTCGTGACACCTCGCCTGCTCCAAGGCATTTTGGGCATAGTCAGCCCCTTGTTGCCGCGCGATGGCGCTGGTGCTCAGCTCCTTTTCCGGTTTGCATCGTACGCATCCGCTCTCGAAGCCCTCTCGACTCGAATCCCCTCCTCGCTCCAGGTGGACCAGCCCCCGGCGTTGCAGGCCCGAAGCTTGACGCAGTGCACGGCGTCGCTGCTGCGCGACTCCGGCATCTGCTGGAACTCCAGCGACCTCGATCTCACAGACTCACGGCATCGCTTTTCAAAGCGATCTTGCGAGGAGAGGGCAGCTCCGGCGTCTCACCGTGCAAAGCAGACTGACAGGGACGGGAGCTGTTGACCGAACCAATGTAGAAAAGAAGCTTGACAAACTCTGAAAGACAGTGCGTGGCGTCTGAGAACGTGGTAGAACCACACCATTCAGCTCATTTTGCTTGCCTTTGGCAACGTGAAGGACCGCTCGGCACCATCTTCCAGCCGTACCACTGCCTCCTTAGCGGAGATGCGGAGAGGTGCAAGTTTCTCTTCGACTTTCCAAAGCCAAACTATGCGCTTTTTCCTCGAGCTCGGTCGCGCCGGCCGTTGGGACGAGCTCTGCGCTTCGCGAGCCGTGCCGCTTGAAGGGGTGATGCCCTCGATCGCCCTGCCCCGCCCAGAGGCGCCTCTGGCGGCGCCTCTGGGCCTCTGAGCTGCGCCCCGGAGGTCGAAGCGACGCTCAGCTTAGGCCGCGCCCATCTCCCAGAGTCGCCGTCAGGAGATCCTGCACGACACGCAGACCGGCTGCACGCTCCATGCAATTCAGCCACTCCTGCAGCAGGCCGTAGGCGGTGTCCGTGGTCGTGGGATCCGTGGATGTCACTGTGACGGGTGCCATCACATCTGTCTCGAAGGTCAGCGCCTTGCAGAAACTGAGGCGAAGCCCCCGGTGACATCGTCTCAGTTGCTCTCCGAGGCGCCGATGAGGCCCCGTCCAGGCTGGCAAGGGGATGCTCCCATGGCAGCTCCTTCCTCGGCCACTCAGTCGGAGACCCAAAACATCAATGAAAAATAAGGAAAAGACGTCAACTTGAAAAGGCCCGTATGAGGAACCTGAGAAAACTGCCGCGCCCCTGTCCGAGGTGCAGTGTTACGGAGGCAGTGATGGACGTACCCTCCGACCTCACGGCTTCGCAGACCTCAAGTGCGGACTCGGAAAACACGGACTTCACGAGGCGCGTCTTATCTCTTATGCATCGCGACGAATCGCGACCTATGCCATTCATCTGAAATCTGTGTCAATGTGAATGGGTGCCTCTCGACTCGTGCACATGAGCGCCCGGGCCACTTTGAGTGCACAGCCCCGCTCGGCAGCGCCTCGCACCTCTCGTGAGGTCTCAGGTCCAAACGAGCCAACGACTCCCCACCTGTTCCAAGCTGACCTCGCGGATGCTGTCCGCTTTGATGTGGGCCTCGCAAATCTGACGAAATTCTCACACATCCGATCCGATGGAGCTGGGGTGTCGGCGGGATCCACTGGGCAGCGGAAGGCCACCGCACAAAGCACGCCCAGCTTCACTGCAGCATCCTGACGCAGCAATGGAAGAAGAACCAATCTTCTGAACCGCCGTGCCCAGATCTCCCCAACACAAGAGCAGAGCGTACCGAGAGAGGATACACCCAGATGAAACACGAGACAGCAGTTTCGATGCGCGGGTGATGCGTGTCCGTGCCTTCCCGTCCAAGTCATCGGAAGGATCCCGCTCCGCGATGCCCTGCCGGCCCCATGTCCAAGGCTGAAACGATTTCCACCGACCCATTGTCTGCAAGGCCGAGGTGCGCAGCAAGGGTGATCATAATCATCAGCGTTGCAATCATTTTCTTATACATAGATTTTGGATGCCATCTGGGGATGTCATGATGACAGCGTCATCATGGTCATCATGATCATCATCATCATCATAATCATCATCATCATAATCATCATCATCATCGTCATTATCAACCTTGTCTTTTCTTTTATTACATTTTCTTACATACATTTCAGTTGCGACGTTAAACATATGGTTGTCTCAAGCATTCATTTTCTTGTAAAGATTTTGAACATAGCGTTACTCGCTTGCAACGCTGGGGATGCGAAATCATGATCATCATCATCTTGTTGGCGATGTTGGGGGTGTGTCATCAGCATTATCGTCGTTGTCATTATTCGCAATCATCATCATTATCTTGCGTGTAGTTATCATGCAGCTCCGGCACTCCCGGAACCCTGCCCTCGGATCTTTTCTCCACGGCCGTCAAGCTAAAGTCTGTGTGAGCGCACGCAAGCTTTGGGGGCCCGCGGCACTCCCTCAAGAAAAGCAGGGCGCTGCGCAAAAGAAGGCGTCGCGCGAAGATGAAATTTGGCTGCGCAGCTTCAAAAAGGGCAGGGCATATTGCATAAAAGAGGGCGCCGCGCCAAAAGCAAGCATATCCACTTCTGACTTCAAGCCAGCGTGCGTGCAGCTCAGCTGTTGTGTCGCAGTAGGGCAGTTCTGCATCTTCGCGCTCACTTCTCTGCAAAGCGTGCCAACCACGCAACGTTTCGCGCTCTTGCAGCACTTCTGGCCAGTTTCCAGGCTCTAAGCGGCTGCGTCGCAGGACGCATGGCTGGCACAAGAGCTTTTCTTGAGCCAACTTTGGTTTTGACACCTTTGGTTGCATGTCCACGCTGGGCAAAGCACGCTGTTGCTGGTGCGCCAACATGCTGCGCTCCCGCCTGCTAGCTGGACCCAGCCGAAGACAGACCTGGCTGAGAACTCGGTTCTGCAATGCAACACAGCGCAGAGCACTCCTGCGGAGGGGTTGGCATTGATGGCTGTCCAAGAGATTGCACAGACATCCAGGAAATCATGTGCGTAAGTCTGCAGCATGCCACAGGATGCGCATGGTTTCGCGCGCCCTGGCTAATGTCGACCTATGTCTGAAGCCTCCTCGTCTACCTCCTCTTCGCTTGCAGCTCGCTTGGGCTTGTTCTTCTTACCCGCCAAGGTCTCGGCTTCCTCTGCGTCACTTGCTTCTTCTTTGCGGGTCTCTGGCTTCCTCCGCTTCTCGGGAGTCCAAGCCACCTTCTTGGCCTTCTTTTCCTGCTGCGTGAAAGGTGAAATTGCCAGACATATTGCCAGAGGGGGAGAGGGTGCTCTGCAGCAGCGCCAGCAGCCGTGACAGGCGAGCCTCGCATGTGGCGCAGCCACACCTCAAGGTTTGAGGCCAGTGCTGCCAGCTCCAGAGCCCAATATGTTCCGAGCTGCAGGCGAAGCCACGTTTTGTGTAACGCTTCGAAGTCGTCCTCCGCTTTGGGCAAATTGCAGGCACGCGCGAGCCCGATCCGTGTCCGATGCCCCACCATAGTCTTGCACGTTGCGCGAGGGCAGGTGACTGCTCAGGTCATACTTGTCGGCGATTTTCAGCAATGGGGCCAGATCAAGGCTGCCTCCGCATTCTCTCACATTAGCCATCAAGCTCTGCATGGTCCCTGCCCACTCGGACAGACCGACTCCAGGCCGATTTGCCAACTCACTTGCTTTGCCATCACTCATCTCAGCAAGCTTCTGCGATAGGCCGGCTGCCAGGCATGCCTCAGAGCCTGCAAGAGCGCAAGCGTCGGACTCTCTTTCGCTTTGACCAAATTTCGGAGTACGCAAGTACATCCGCAATCCTTTTTTTGGAAGGCGCTGCAAGTCTTGCACCGGGGTGCCTGCCGTCCACTGCTTCGCGGAGCGGAACATTAGGAAGAGGGGGACAAGCCAGAGTTGTGTTAGATTGCTGAGCAGAAAGACACAAGATAAATCACATCTCGTAGTTGGAATGCATCATTCTGTGTTGCGGCCTAGGCGGCTGGCGAAGGGTCGGCCCCACCTTCTTGCAATGCCAAGTTGTGGAGGATAGCAAGCGGAGTCAGGAGCTTCCATTGCAATTTGCGCCCTCAACAGTTAGACAAGCTACACTCACACGTTACGGCAAGTGGCACGTTGCTTTGCGCAGGTCACGCAGGTGTAGGGTTCGGGAACTAGGCGCACGTCCGGAAAATTGACAATCTTGGCGGCGCACAACCGCTAGGACGTACACAACAAGCACGGTGGGTGGAGGATGGGTGGGGGATGGATGGATTGGTGGGTGGCCGGGGGGGGCTACTGGGCAAAGTCTGGTTTCTGGTGGCAGAAGTAAACGCAAACCTTTGAAAGCAAACACATGTATGGCTTGAGAGCTCGGCACGGGTCCTGCTGCGGGCACCCCTCACAAAAACGCTGGCAACAGTGACAGCCCTGGCAGCACAGAAAGTGTTGGACACGAAATCTTACACAGATCTGGCTCCCAAGCGCCAAGACAGCCTAACCTTCTGAAAGCGCGAAGGGTAAGCTCGAACGGTAGAGCTGCTCCTGGCAAACACTGCCTGAGTGAGAACTGCTGATCTTTGGCACAGGCTCAAGTAGTGCGTCTACAAGGTGAGAAGCTCACACAACTGAGCAAACACGAAGCTAAGAGCACGCCCAGGAGCAACGCAGGAATTGCCAGCGCTGAAGACGCAAGAGTTCAGTCGAAGCTTGCTCAAAACTGCTCGTAACACTAGGCTCAAAATGCGAGAGGAAGGAAAGGAAAGCGCCGGAGATAGTACCTCCCGCAAGTCCTGCACCTAGTGGCCTGTACATGTACCCCTTAAGCCCGAAACTGGGCAGTGACAGGAGTTTGCTACTGCATGCAAGGACATCTTCATTATCATTGTGATCACCATCATCATCATGGCGCTCATCATCGTACCTCATATTCAACGTCGTTGTCACCATCATTTTCTTCTGTATCTTTCGGACGTGACGTTCGGCATTGTCATCATTACAACATTACAACTCTCATCATTTGCGTGCACATCTTTCAATCGTGACGTTAGGCCTCGCTTGCAATGCTGGGGGCGCGCACGCACGAGCATCATCATCTTGCTTGCGACACTGGAAATGTGTCATCATCGTTGTTGTAATCCTTCTCAATCATCATTTTCTTGTGTAGATTTCGACCGTCATCATCATCCTCACCACCATTGCGAGCATCATCCTCATCATCATCATCATCCTCATAATCATCATCATCATCATCATCATCATCATCATCATCATCATCATCATCATCATCATCATCATCATCAGCCTCATCAGCATCATCATCAGCATCAGCATCATCATCATCATCATCATCATCATCATCATCATCATCATCATCAGCCTCATCAGCATCATCATCAGCATCAGCATCAGCATCAGCATCATCATCAGCAGCAGCAGCAGCATCATCATCATCATCATCAGCAGCAGCAGCATCATCATCTTCACCGCCGTTGTCATCAATACTCTCTTGTCTTGATTTTGGATGTAGAGTTAGGCATGATTTCCGATGCTGGGGGTTCGTATCGCATCATCACTGGCGACGCTTGCGATGCAAACTCATCATATCATGAATCATCATCATATCATGAATCATCATCATCATCATCATCATCATCATCATCATCATCATCATCATCATCATCATCATCATGAATCATCATCATCATCATCATCCTCATCCTCATCATCATCATCATGGCGTTCATCAGAAACTCACCATCGTCGTCATAGTCATCTTCTGCATCATTTCAGATGTGACGTTGGGCATCGCTTGCAACGCTGGGGGCGCGTCCGTCTGTCCGTCTGTCTGTCTGTCTGTCTGTCCGTCCATCCGTCGGTCTGTCTGTTGTGTCGCTGTCTCTGTCTCTGTCTCCGTCAGTCTGTCTCCGTCTGTCTGAATTTGACTTGCGTGCCGAGCCTGTTCCTGAGCAAATTTCACCGCATCCCACAAGGAGCAGCCCTCGCGGCGCATCCTGGCCACATCCCGTGCAGTCGCAGGCAGGCTCAAAGCTTCAGAAGACTTGCAAGTCCACCCCCTCACCCTCCAAACCTCTCTCTCAGCATGCGAAGCATGTCCTGGTGAGGACCAGGTTTGAGGTGGAGTTCAGCACCCCCACCAGGCGCGTGACACGCGCCCCCGGCAACTGCCGCAGCAGCGAGAAGATGGGCACCTGAAGCACCGAAACGGACACCGAAACGAATTCCAAAATGCCATTGACATCTCTCCAGGTACTTAGAAACATATTGAAACGTGCCAAAGACAAGATGTGCAAGGCTTGAAGATGACAGGTATGGGCATGGTGGAGAGAAGGACTCACTTGTATCCATTCCGGGAAGTCATGCGAAAGGACTAACAATCGTCAACTCCACTTCAACCTGTCAATTCTCTGACATCCAACCTCTTCTCACTGCCCGCAGGTTCCCCTCGCGCTGCCAAGCCACACCATCCATGACGCTTGACTCAAAAAGGAAGCGCCGGTCCCTCTGCGAGGCCAATTCTGTGAGCCTTGAGATGGGAAGCTCCCTCACGCTGTGTCGACTGCTCCAAGGCTTCAACACAAGCAGTACACATGCTTAAGCTGCTTAAGCTGTTATGCAAGGTGCTGAAGCAATCGGCTTGCAGCCCAGACGCGAGGTGTATGCCAGCGCAACTGGAGGCTTGCTCGCAGTAATCGCATGAGCCTAAGCAGAAGGAAGTAATCGCATGAGCCAGCGCAGTAATCGCAGTTGCAAAAACACATCAACGAAGCAGAAGACGCAAGCTGAGAAAGCAAAGGCCCGTCTCGGGCTTTCTACCTTTCTGGTCAGTCCACTTGATGATCTTTCTTCTTTCTTCCTTCCTCTTCTTGCCTCTTCTTTTCCTCTTTTGCCATTTTCTTCTTCCTTCGACTTCTCCGACTTCTCCGACTTCTCCAACTCTCCGACGGCCCCGGCTGGGGGCTCCAGCTGCAGGGCCCGCCGCAGCAGGCGCAGCGCCGGGCCGCCGTCGGCCCCGCAGTTCACGGCCTCCAGGACCTCGCCGAAGACGGCGCGCGTGCGAGTTTCACGCGTCAGACGAGTTTCATTTGTTTCAACTTTCCGTCTCTTTCAGATCGAAGCTCAGTTTGCCCGAGCCCGGCGCCGCATCGCAGCTGCCCTGCACGTGCTCCAGCAGCGCCTGAACCAAGGAAGCCGGACCAGGGACTGCAGCATCCGGCGCATCAAGATGGCAACATCGAAAGTCATGAAGCATCACAATGCACTAAAGACATCGGCGAAAAAGAAAGAGGCCGGCGTCCGCATCTGGCAGCGCTGTGCCCAGCCCATTCAGCGTGGCAGCTGCCAGGCCTTCACAGAGAAAAGAAGCACAATGAGCTCTCGGGCATGTCTGTGTGTGTGTGAGACTTTGGTGAGTGCCCCATGTCACCTCCCTGGACAATAGATACAAGATTTGACCCAGCCCCACCAAAAATAAACAAATAACCGAATAACGAGCCCGTATCTCAGCAGTGTTTCAGAGATGAGACCCGAGCTACTCCAAGCATTTTCTTTCGACTGGGCTTCCACGCAGGCCTCCAAATCTAGACCATTGCAGTCAGCCACGGTACCGCGAGACTGCGTGGCCTCAGCAAAGAAAACCCACGATCCCATGGAATCCGGCGGATGGCTGCCGCTCCATGGCTGTGGCGCCGGCAATGCCCACCACGCGCACTCGCAGCCCGAAGCCGCTCTCCAGGTCCCGCTCCTTCGCCAGCAGCAGCCGCGCCAAGGCCTGCGCGACCGCGTGGCCGCCTCGTGTTCCTCGTGTTCCTCGTGTTCCTCGTGTCAATGGCCTTCCCGGGCCTGGTTCACGTTCCCAAAGCCCAGCAAAACCACGCGCACCGCCATGCCATTGGGCCATACGCGAGTCTCGAGCACTAGCGGCGGTCTCTTGAGAACACTACTGAACACACTGAATACACTCATAGCATACCCCGTACACAGTTCCAAGCAAGGGCTTCCAAGATCCCGGCAAACTCATCCACATGCTCTCCACCGGTCTCCAGCAAGGTTAGAATGACATTGCCTCACAGGACAGGCACCTCACGGTCAGTTTGCACAGTTGAGCCACAAGCGCGTCTCCCCAACATTTCCCGCATGCCTACGCCCGGCCTTGCCGAACTCTGATGCCTGATTTGCTGGGGGACTCGCATGTCCCGCAAAGGTCGCTGAGTCCAGGGCTTTCGATCACAGGGTTCAGCGGCATCGTCCAGAACTGGAGCTCTTTGGCTGTGGCGCCAGCCCCTGGCATCGCATGCGCGCTGCATGCGCGCATCCCACACGTCCATTTTAGCCAGTGCGGCCCATGGAGTTCACGGCGCAGAAGCCGGAGAGCAAGTAGTTGGTGTCGGGACCTCGGCACCGAGCATCGGATGGGAAGACTCGACGCGTGACTCGTGAGCCGCCCGGCGCAGGCCGCCCAAGCGCCCGGTCAGCAGGCCCTCCTGCGCGGCGAAGTGGCCCACCTCCCAGCTGCATTGCCTGCCGTCGGGGCCACGCGCCATGCAGCTCTCCGACTGCACTCAGGACCCCGCCGGCAGGATGTGTCGACCTCCTCTCTGAGCTGGACAGAGGTCCGGCCTGGACTTGCCCGAAGATTCCGTGGATTTGCTCGGGTATTTTCTTAGCTCACTTCGGACGCGAGCTCGAGCTGGGCGGCCCGTGCTCCTGGCCAGCGCCCTGCGGTCCATGAGCTTCTCCGCCACGGAGAGCCGGGCCTCGTAGCCTCAGCGCCGGTCGATCGCATCCAACAAAGCACCGTAGGCACCGAAACCACAGGGACCACCAGGACCACAGGGACCGGGACCGGGGGGGGCACCAGAAAACAGCGGGGGCTTTGGGGCAGCGACGCCGGATGGACTCGCACTGCAGCCTGGGACAACTCGAACACTCGAAGACTCGATCGAAGCGACGCGGAGATCGAGCGGGTGCGAGCGAGACGTGCCGCCGGGCCGCTGCCACCGGTCCTGCGTCCGCTCGTTGCCCACCACCTGGAAAAACGGCGCGAGCAACGCAGTGCACGCGATGTGGTTGCACCTCTGGCGCGCGCCACTGCAGGTCCACGTAGGTGGTCGAGGCTTTGGCGCTGAGCACATTCCTCCGCACAAACTCCAAGTCCGAAAAGGATCGGAAGAAAGAGAAACCTGGAGGAGACTTCAGAAAGACAGAAGGATTAATGAGAAAGCAAAGACCGGCACTGCGGCTAAGCGGCAAGGGCTGGGAGCAGCGCGCGTTGGTGCGGCAGCTGCAGCTCGCCTCGACTCCCCCACTCGAGGCGCTCTCCCGGCGCAGGTGGAACTCATAGTCCGTGTCAGGCGCCAGATCCCTCAACTCGTACCTCGGGCGATCCCGGCCCCGACCCTGAAACCACCTGACTTCACCTGACTTCACCTATCTTCACCTGACTTCACCAGATGGGCTCACTGCTTGCCGTCCGTTTCGAGCTCCAAAAGACTCTCTTTGCCTCTGCAAAAGCGTAGTCTCCACAGAAAGAAAGCTCGTTCCTGCTACTGAAACGTGTGGCCCGCACTCCCCGTTCGGACATAGAGCCGCAGTGCATCCACGAGTGCCTAGGTCTCTGTTCGCTTCAACTCGTTGTTACTTTGCACCCGTCTCAAATAGGGCGCCTGTCTAACACGCACACAAACCACATGGAATGCATGGAATCCCGAATCAATTGTCTCTTTCAACCCTCCAAGCAAATTTGGCAAATTGAGCGCTTTGCCATGAAGCCTCACTGGATTCTCCCTCCGCCTATGCCTGTTCCCTGGCCTCTCCCCTAACTGCGAGCCTCCGAAGACGCATCTTCGCCAAAATCATAACCTGCCCAACCTCGGAGCCAAACTCTGAGCACGCGTCTTCCCGAGCCCGGCCCGAAGCACCCGCTGGGGACCCTCACGCAGCTTGGCCGTGCGTCCCTCGCAACAGACTTGCAGGGTGGCCACGGCCGGAGGCAACGCCTCGCGTGGAACGTCCGGCAAAACGGCGAGCGGCGCTTCTGGCATGGGACGGCAAGACCAGAGCCAAGACGGCAAGACGGCAAGACGGCAAGACAGCGAGACCGGGCGGCACAACGTGAGCGCGCCTGGTGGCTCACCAGCACCCGCAGCGGCTCACCGACACAGCCGATGATGCCTTGGTGTAAGCTGGAACCAGCGCACCTGTTGAACAGAGCAACCCGAGAATGGCAAGCTCGGCGGCCACGGCCCCGGCGGTTCTTTCTTGAGGAGAAAAGTCGGAACTCCAGCTCCTGCAACAATCTCATGCAACCCTGGATGCGCTCACTCCGCACTGCCTCCGTGGCAGAAGAGGCATTTCGCCGCGACCCGCGCAGGAGGTACGGCCTGGAGACCCCACTCTCAGGCGAAAGTGTGCCCGGGCCAACCGGGCGGACACGGTGAACGAAAGTGGAAGTGCGCAAGCTCCGCACGCGACCATCTCCACGGTGCCGTAGAGCTGCAGCTTGCCATCCCGGTCCAACGGCAAGTCGGCCTCGATGGCCACGGCCAATGAGACGAGACCAACTGAAGTACAAACCGAATCTGAAATCGGCAAATCAAATTGACTTGTTCATTGCTTCCCGGCATTCCCGTGAATTGCTTGGGCCCGGGCGCGCAGACCGGGGTCCACCTGGTTAAAGGACTGGCTGCCCAGGTAGAAGCCGCCGCCCCCCGCGTTGGTCCAGCGCAACCCCCGCGGCACCAACGCCACGAAAGGCGTCTCCCCCAACACCTGCCACTGGACTCCACACCACGGACCCTCCGCATGCGTTGTGCATCTGGGAGTGCCTTTGGCTCGTGTTTGCTCGTCTTTTTTTATGGGCAAAGCCCTAAATCGACGATCCCGTCACGATGTCCTTTGCAAGTGACCTCTTCGCAAAACGGCCAAGTTGGTTTCCAACCGGCACGTTCGCATAAGATGAGAGGCCAGCCCCCCTCGGGGCTGAACCGCCCAGATTAACCTGTAGCACAGAACCGCGAGGCTGAGGCTGACGCACATCTGCGCAGCTCTGCCAGCTCCCTATCTCAAGTCTCACCGACTCATCTCAGCCGCATCTGCGATTCCCCAGATTCAAGCAATCGGGCACCTGCGGCGACACGTGCGACACGTGCGACACGTGCGATCTGTCTCATGGCCGCTGTCTCATTGCCTCCAGTCTCTGAGACTGAAAGGCGTCCGGGCGCAGGCGTGCTGTGGTTGTGATGACCTTGTGGTTCCAAGAATAGGCACAGCATGGCTTTGCTCGACATGCTGAGATTCGAGTCAAATGAGTCAAACACTCAGACCACCAGCTTCTAGAATGGCCAGAACGCGCTGCACGCCTGGAGGGCTGACAGGTGCTTTAAGCGCAGGCCAGCCCACGCAAGAGGCAAAGCCAAGATCCGGACGAGTTCCCACCATTGGCAAGCCCTTGTCCTTCATGATCTCCTGACATGCTTCACATCTTCCGCGTGACGCGCCCCATGTCCGAACAGGTAGCCAACAAAGTGCCCGCAAGCGCGCGCGCTTGCTCATGCCATCTCGTGCCTCGATCTCTTCGTCCGTCTTCACTTCGAGGTCCCGGACGTCACTGAAGTCCGCGCTGACCTAAGGCGCTGAGCTCTGGAGCGCTAAGGGCACTAGCAGATTCTCGTTGAGCCCTCCGCGTGGATCAGCATCTCCTGGCACCAAGCGACCCGGACGCCTCCCGACACCACACCCTCGATGCAGCGGGCCTTGTAATACTTCCTCTGCGTCAGGAAGTACCTCATCTACGGGTGCCACTTCTCCGACGCCAGACAAAATACGAAAAGAAGAGAAAAGAAGAGAAAAGCCAGGTAAGGCCGCAGCATGGCGATGTACTTCACCACAGTCGCTGCCAGGGCCAGGAGCGTGAGGCTGGTGGTCACCGTTACGAGCAGCGTCTGCAGGTCGAAGACCCCCAGCTCGCCCTGGCCCGCGGAGCCCGGCACTCTGGGCTCTTGCCAAAAGCCGGAGAAAGCCGGGGCAAGAAGCGGCTTTTAAGCAAGACCTCCCAATTCGAAAAACTAAAAATGATGACGATTGCGTGCCTCTGGAGTCACAGCCCTCGAGCATGCGATGCACTGCAGAAGATAGTGACACCTTGATTCTCCAGCCAAGGCACACATAGATGCCGTGCATCTCCCGGCGGACCCGCTTGTTGGGGTAGTCCGAATAGACCAAGTCACTGACCTCGAGTAAAGCTCTGCCCACTTCGTGCATGAACCGATGAACAGAATTGCAAGCCTTGTACGGATTGTCCTTCAAAGGCACGAGGGAGTACACATACAGCACCTTTGGCTGCCCATCCTCGTTCCTCTGCAAGGATTCTGGTGTCTGCACCGTCACTGAAACTTGGCAACGGACCGGCCGTCCTCAGAACCCCATGCCAGGGCCAAGTGTCGAAGTATTGGATCTTCAGCGTCACGGTGAGGCCCTGCATCGAGATGAGAAAACGTGCGAAACATCCGGGGGACAACTCGCAATCGTCGCAATCGGACGACTCGCACTCGGACTCGGCTCGGAGCTCGGCCTCGTAGCGCAAGGAGTGGCCGCTGCCTTGGTAGCTGCCCCTGTCCAGGTCGAGGCCCATCGCCTCAGAGCCGTGCGGGGCGCCGCGAAGGCTCGCGAGGGCTCTCGAGCGCTTGGGGCGCTTGGGGCGCTTGGCCATCATCAAGGTGGACACGGAGAAGTAGTCCAGACCCTCCTGACACAGACTCATACTCCATGCGGCCCAAAGCGAACCAAAGCGAAGCGACCCAAACAAAGCCGCCTTGCCGGTGTTGTTCGGCTTGATGTAGCAGGGAGCCTCGAACATCGCATGCATTCGCATGCTGTTAAAATCCTGAAACATCGATCGCGCCGCGCCTGGTCCGTCTGCTTGCCGAAAATGGGCTGCGTCATGGAGGTGTTGGCCGAACGGCAGAGCTGTTGCCTGCGGCTCGAACTTGGTGTCAACCAGACCCGACGTCCCAAGGCCGCGACTGCAAGTCCTGGGTGCCGTTCACCAGCAGCCACCCCGTCATGTCGCCTCGCGCTTCCAGCTCATCTCCCTGTATCTCCCTCCATCTCTCTGATTCTTGTTTCTCTCCCTTGGAACTTGGACTTCGCTTCAACCTTTACGTCTTGGCGCGGGGCGGCTGGTCCTGGCGATGCCCAGGTCCTGCACTCCGGAAACCCGCTCCGCAGCTTGCGGGCGTCCGGCCGTGCCTGGTTCTGCACAGCGTGGTCCACAAGCAGCGTGAAATCCTCGCGCGAACCCAGCGATGGCGTCGCGTTGCGAAGTGCCCAAAGTGCCCAAGGCTGCCTCGACGTCTGCCATGAACCTCGCTATCCATGCGGCACACGCCTCACAAGCCCCACTCCCGGCCTGTGCTGCGCTGCAGTCTGCACCCACAGCTTGCTGCAGCCGTCTTGGCCACAGCTGCTGTTGCGCTCCTCGGAAACGCCCCCGGGTCCGTCCGTCACTTGCCTGGCTCAGCCGCTCTCGGCCGCTCTCAGCCGCTGTCCTGGACGTATTCGTGGCGGAAGGTGTTGATCACCTGCTGAACATCGAAGGCGGCAGAAGCGCAATGAGAAATTTGACGGAGGCAAGCGGCCAGGTCATTGGGATAGATCTGCGTGCCCCCAACTCCATCGACATACCTGACGGGCTTCTCACATGAGAAGTTCAGGCCACAGACACGCAGCTCGTCTGCTCTGAGCCATTGCCCAAATTGCAACCAAGACGCTGGCACCTCATGGCAAGAAGGAAAGATGCTGAATGCTCAAGGGCCGCAAGCTCTTCTTTTGCAAGCCAGGAAGCACATAATTTGAGTACGACCGCCAGGGGCACGAGCACGAGGAGTTGTCTTCCTGGGATCGGGATCATTGGCTTGATCAGTCAGTGAAGCGGCACCTTCATAGTGCATTGGTCTGTGCAGCAATAGGGCAGGTCTGACACCTTCTTATAGGTATCCTGGCCTCAGATGCGAGGTGATGGCCCAATCTCCGGCCATCGCCGGGATCGCCGGGCTCCGGGCAGCTGGGATCGTTGGGGCTGCAGCTCTGCAGCGTGGGCTGCTGCAGCGACATGCGCGTGCTCACGGTTGGCTGCCTGAGTTTAAAAGAAAAAAACCATGCAAGTCAAGCAAGTCAAGCAAGTCAAGGTATACGGCGGGTTTGGGGTAAGCCCGGTGAGCCCGGCAAGCTGGGTCCGTGCCTGTAGAGCAGGTAGCTATTCCCGCGGATCAGCTGCCAGACCACAATGTACACGGTCTTAGCAAGAGCGCAAGAGCGCGCCCTGCAACTCAACTTCCTCTCAGGCAGCCAAGCAGCAATGAGAAACATCATTCCCTTGGCTGACGTCGAAGAGTCGAAAAACGAAGCGGGCTACTTTTGCACCAAGACACGTATTGCAGCAGCCCCAACCGCGCATCACGGATTCGGATGGTCTTCTGGGCATCGTAGACGAAAATATCCTCAGAGAAAAGGGCTTGAGTCTGCCTGAGCCTTGCCAGCCGCAGTGAGCCAATGCCAACTGCTGTAGAGGCGCATCACAGTCTTGCCCGCAAATGGTTCGACCTCGGCTGTGTCCACCCAAAGTCTAGTCTCATGAGACAAAACCAAAAATCAGAAGCTGTTGCGGCATCCAGCGATTCCATCTGAGACTCGGGCAGCACATGGCGGCAACTTGCGCGGACGAGCCCTCGCGGCCCTAGCAGCCTAGCGTTGGCCCTGGCGCCACGGGCCTTGAGCCTCGGCGGCTTCGAGTCTCCAGTCACCTGGCCTCAGATCAATATGTCCAAAGCCACCCCGAACTCGCGCCTTGCCGGGCACCGGCCATGGCAGGGGCTCGCGCTCGTCTTTCAGCACCCGGTGCTTGGAGTGCCAAAAGTTGCACGCCTCGCCCGAAGTCCCCGTCCGCCCAGCACTCAGTATCCCCCACGAGATGTGCCGCACTTCTGGGGCGCCACGCTCCCGCGAGACGGTACCGCACAACGACCACCTCCCACAAGGGCGGGACTGGGCACACTCGGCGCTGCACCCCCACCTCCCCCCTGTGCCTGGCCAGCGCGGAGGTTCACATTGCCTGAGAGGATTCAGCAGCAAACACAAAAAAGCACCACAATTTACAAAGAAACGCATCGGACTGTTTCACAGTGCGGGAAACACTGCCAAATGCCCTAAGCCGCACGTTTTGAGGCCCTGGCTGACTGACAGGATGTCGCTGACATTGGGGAAAATGGACTCGTACTGGCGCCTCGAGACCTCATCCCCACCAGGCATGCCAGCTGTCGCATTGGTTTGGACATCCGGGGCCAAGGGCAGGCTGGTTCATGATCTCCGTGGCCGACCGCAGGTATCGAGCAAGGCAGGCCTGGAAGTCTGGATATCTGGAAGCACCAGAAGCCGCCACAAGCATCGTCTGATGCTCCCTGCTCCCCCTGTTCCACCGGCCTCCTTCATTCTGGCAGTGCCCACGCGCTCCTCACACATCTCCGAGAGGCGCTCACGGGTCTCGCGGGTCTCGCGGGTCCTTCTCCTTGCGCCTCTCTGCCTTGTGCTCGTGCGCCGCCTTCTCCTCGGCACATGCCTGTGACTCATGGCCATGGCCTCTCCAGTCGCGTCCTTCGAGCCCACGCGCTCACCTGGGATCAGGAAGCCCAAAGGCCGGAGCCCGGAAGCCCAAGGGAATCCGGAGAAATCCGGGCACAAAGACTTTGCAGCACCAGGCGCTGTGGCCATCGGGAAACGCGACCAGCATGCCCTCACCTCAAGCAAACAAGCCCAGGCTCGGAGATTCGGAGATCAGCTGAGGCCCCGTGCCAACACAATTTCCCCAGAGATGCTCAAAGCCTGAGAGCATCAAGAGACTATTTTGAGACCTTGCGAATCGATGCACGGTGCACGAAGTGGTCCCAGCCCTCGACGCTCTTTGAGAGCAGCGTCAGAGGGAACTGCGGCCTCAGCCTGGCCGGGACAGGGACACACAGGGCCATGCGGGCCACCATTTCCCTCGCCTTCTCCAAGTCTGGAGCGTCTCTTCGAGCGAACTGCCAGCTTTGTGCACTCTCGTGTCCCTCTCCGGTGCACGTGCCATCTCGTCCAAACCTTCCCCTAGCCCCAGCCTCCAGCACTGCCTCCACTGGGAGGCAGGCATCCTTGCGCTTGTTCCGCTCAAGCCTCGGAAGGCAACATGCACTGGGCTGGAGCACTCGCCTGGGGCCGCGGCTGCAGGCAGCGCATGCCCAAAATGTTGAAGAAGTGCTCCACTGCAAAGGGCTCCAGGCCCCAGTAAGCCTCGAAAACCGAACCCGCAATGCCGCAATCTCAAGCATCTCAAGCCCGCGTGCGCGCGCCTCGAGCGGTAGCCGCTCCAGGGCCTCGTCCATGGTCTGGGGCGACAGCAGGTTCCCTGGATGCGCTCCTGAGCTCCAAACGAAACTTCTCTTTGAGTCGATCCAGGCCCCGGCCCCAGAGCCGGACGAAGTGGGCCAAGTCCTGTGGATGGCGAGGCTCCCGGCTCGGAAAGAAAAAAATCACCCGCACGTCGCGCGTCGCGCTGGGCGCAACGTCGCGATGTCGAGATGTCGCGTCGGTCCAGCGGCGAGATGTCCAAATGCTCCCCGCAGAAGTGCTCTGCCAGCTGGGCCTCCAAGACTTCGTCTCGAGTCCGTCAAGTTCGACTGGGCCCCCTGGGCCCCTTGGGCCCCCCACAAAGTCGATCATGCCGGGCCTGAGAGATGGCGAGATATTTGGGCTGATGTCATTTCTCTTGGAGCGAGACAGCTTGGACCGGCCAAGACCGTTCTTGGCCTGGCGCAAGCCCCAACGGCCCTCGAACCTTCCACGCCCAGCCGACTCCGAGTCGAGTCGACGCACCTCCAAGTGCCCCTGGACCTCCAGCAGCGAGATGCCAACCGGCGCGGCCTGACACGGCAAAAGGCAAACCCTTTGGCATGTCGCTTGGAAAGCATCCTATAGAACCCAGCTCTTGGAGAAATCGCTTATCCTGCCCCACTTACCTCTTCGAGTATCTCTTCGGGTACCTATTAGAAACTACCGTGTTACCCGTACACGAGGCGTATCATTGACATCGGTCAAGGGTCGATGGTGGACGATGGCCATGGCACGTGCCGCCAGGCCACGAAGCTCAGGCGCCTTCGAAACCTCAGATCGCCGGCACGCCATGCCGCTCAAGCGCGAGCCGTCGAGGCCACGGCTCTTGCATGCTGATCTCTCCGTGAGCCTCCCGCAACGTGAGAGACCGATGGCCGATGCGAGCTTCTCATGCGGCCTTCACGATGGACTCCACCGGAATGGAGTCTGCCGCAAAACGCAAAGGGTCAGCAGCTGCTTTCATTTCAAACGATGAATTCCTTGTATGCTCTGCAAACATTCGCGAACCCTCACCAAAACGGCCTTGGATGCCCGTGTCGCCGGCCAGCCTGAGGCGTCAGGCAACGGGCAATCTATCCTCCATGTCAATCATCTCAGGTGAGCCATCGTGTGCAGCGTTTGCTTCGTTCCAGTGAGTTCTACGAAGGCTATGGCCGGTCACTTTGCAGACGCGCCTGTAGTTCACCATGGTCAGGAACTGCCGGAGGAGTGTCGGGTCCACCAGCTTGGAGTCCTAAGATCAAAGCGACTTCTCGGCTTCGGCTTCGGCTTCGGCTTCGGCTGCGCGCGCCTTTGCCTCCAGCCCCGCCAGGAAGGCGTTCAACGAGGGCGCTCCCCGCTCCACCGCGTTTCGGAGCCTCGCGCTCTCGGGGCTCGCTCGCCGCTGGAGTTGATGGAACTTCAGGGGCCGGACGCCAGGATCCCGTAGAAGGTGTTGACCGTCTCGTCCATGTTACTGTCGTTTCAGAAGCAGCGGATTTGGACTCGCGACCGTCCAAGCCGTGCCGGCGCCACCAACCAAAAGCGAGCACACCTGGATTTAGGTGGCTGGCACCTGCAATTTTCTGCCTCGGAGAGGGAAGCTCAAAACGGTTGAATCCGAGCCAAGCGCCGCGCAGTTGCATCAGCGCTTCGAACAAGTCCTCGCACTCCTGAACGGAGTAGCGTGTTACAGCTGTGCCATGAAGGCTGGGGCAAGCATAGCAACGCATAGCAACATGGTCCTCCACTGTGAGCGCCGGATCGCCCTGCGCTCCACTCCAGTCTTCCATTCCCTCTCAGGTCCCGAGCAAGTCCGCCTGGCCCTGGCCAGCACCTCACAGACGGTCATGACTCGTACTACTCCCTTATGCATGACTCGGCTCGCACTGCTCAAAGCTGGCCTCCAGCATTTGGGAGGTCCTCGGCCTCGCGAAAAAGCCGCGGAGCGCGGAGGCGCCTGGGCTCCGGTCGAACCGCTCGACTGAGTCAAGGTGTGCTGTTCCGGCGCCAAGGTGTCGTCAACGTTTATGTTACTTCGGTGTTTTCTGCTTTACTTCGGATGTCATGTCAGTGTTCCCGACTTCTCTGGCACTCCCTGGTCCCCGGCTTCCGCAGCTCGGTCACAAACTCCTCCCGGCCCAAGCTGTCCGAAAGCTTCGCGAGGGGATGCCTAAGCCGCTTTGTAGCTTCTCACAACTGCCCTTGGTGCCCTGAGGCCCCAGGCCACGGATTTTTGAAAAGCATCGGCCTGCAATGCGGCGCAATGCGCTCGAAAAACAGGCGCCCGGCCCTGTGCCTGGAAGGGCCCCCGCTGGTCTGTACAGAGCCCTTCGGGAGCGTGCAAGCGTGCGCATGGTTTGGGAAACTTGGGAAGCTTGGGACACTGGACGGAGTTTGGCATCGCTTTGGGAGTGCTTTGGGATCATGGCAAGACCGGTGCAGGACCGGGTGGGTGACCGCGTTGCCCTAAGTCGGACACACCAATGCCGAGACCTCGCGCTAGGTGCACTAGGGGCACTGCGTGCGGCTGGGCGTCGACCTACGTCAGATGCGCAGATATTAAACTCGACACTCGGCTTTTCGAAGTCATGTTGAGGCCCTCGATAGGCCCTGCACCGCCGAGCGGGAGACAGCGACCGACGGTCACAGCGCCTGAGCGGTCCGAGTCCCTCGATTCGATCTCCGGATGTCCGTCCGGCTGTGCACGCACTTTGGGACCGTGGCGATGCGGCCCTGGGCGACCTTCCTGTGCAGCTAGGACTGCGCGCACTTGCTGGAAAGGATGAGCTCGCCACGGCCCATTGACCGCTCCCTGGAAAGGGTACTCCTGACGAGAGCTTTGTGATGGCACGACATGCTCTCGGTCCAGCCTGCCACGTGCACTCTTTGGGCCGTCTCCTGACTTCTAACCGTCTCTTCGAGCCCAATCGAATAGAGAGGCCCAAACCTTCGACAGCCTCGGCAAACTCATCGTTGATGTGCTCAAAGAGGTCCTGAACATCTGGGCCCTCTGCTCTCTCAATTCTGAAAATTCACGCCTGTTCAACCTCCACCATCCATCCCACCAGGTTGTTCCTGCACTGCGGCTGCACGGAACCACTGCTGCACGCTTCAGACCCTCCCCAGCCGCCGTTCGAGCTAAGGTGACGACGCCTGGACAAAATCGCAGCCTTTGGGACCGACCAAAACGAGAAATCCAATGCGAGACAAGGAACTGGTGTGTTTTTGGTGTGTTGTCCAGACTGGGTTGCGGACCTGAGTCCAGCGGCACATTGTCCCAGGACCGGGCTGTGACCACAAACTCGTAGAGGAGCTGGGCCGTCGAATGCACTTCTGAAGGTTTGATGGTGGAACGCTACCATTCAAGACTCAAATGTTGCATTCACCTGCATGCATGGCTGGTGCGCCTCCTCCTCAATTGGGAGCACCTAGCAAAGTCAGAGCCCTTCCAAAGCGTCTGGACAACACCAAGAGATCAGCGCCCCCTCCTTCCGCAGGCGCCGCCACTCGGCGCAAAAGAAGTGGTGATGGCCCGGCATGGCATGGCGTTGGACGGGGAGCCATCTGCGGGCATCGATCTCAGCACTTTGCAGCGTCTGACTGCGGCACAGTTCACAAGTTCACAAGGCAACCTTCGCAAGCACTTTTCTTCTTTCTGTCACCAGCGCATCCTATCCAGGGCGCGGTCTTCAAACTTCTTCTTTGTTCATCTTATTCCTGCGATCACACGACAAACGCACAGCCCTTTGTTACGGAGTCGCTGAGTCAGGCCAAGCGGCGCTTTCTTTGCCTTCGCCTGCCGCTTTCCGCGACAGGCGGATTGCGGGCGAGGTTTCGGAATGCCAAGGCGCTGGGGCTCTCTTCTGATAGTCCTCTGGCTTGGCCCCGATGGGAATCTCCCGCACTTGCCTGCCTGCACCGAGAGCCTCGCCTTGCCTCGCCTTGCCTCGGAAGCCTCGGAGCCTGCCTCTCAAGGGCGGAGCAACCGTGGCGGAGCCGATCTCTCCCCTTGGCATGCGGTTTGCAGCTCTAGCTCTCCTGGCTCTCCTGGCTCTCCTTGCTGCCGGGCTGCCCGATCCCGCGGAATTGCCAGCTGTCTCTTCCTTTGCCTTTCTCCTCTGTTCCCTTCCTTCCTTCGCCCTTGCCTTCCGTGGCTCTTTTGCCTTTGCCCTGGTTCTTGCCTTTTCGGCCTTTGACTTCCAGGCCTGACCATGGCGTGCATGGCGGGCACAGCTCGGCTGCGCCCGAGCCTGGAGGTGTCACGACTTTGCCTGCGGCACGCCGCGCACACGCCGCGCACACGCCGCGCACACGCTGTGTCCGTGAGTGTCACGTGAGACACGGCGGCGCCTCCGAGGGCCTCAGACGTGCCATGTGCGACGCTCCGATCCAACTCGGCTGGGCACCTGGCGGTCCACCTAGGCGCCCAGCGGGCCTCCGGAGCAGCGACTCGTCTCAGAAAGCGAGTTGGAGCTCTCGGACTCAGCTTTCTCCCGAGCTCGCCTCATCCCAGCTGGTCTCCCAGTCCCACTCGCCCCAGTCCCAGGCGTCCCAGGCCCAGCCTTGGATCTGAAGAAAGAAAAAACACAACGAACTCCAAACGACCTTCCGAGTTTCCTCCCCCCAAAACCACTCCCGCGCGCCAACACCCCCCCCCCCAAAACCCAAAACCCCGAAACATGCCAAGAAAAGGCAAGCCTTCTTGTCGGGGCCTTCGTGTCATCACTCTCCTACTTAGCAAGTCGCTTAAGTGCTCGCCAGGAGGCTCTCCGCTGGCCGGCGTGACTTTGCCATGAAATCTACATGGAGCCACGGGCTAAAACCGAATGCCACTCGTTGACTGGCTCGGGCTGGGACAGGCTGTGCTATGGCAACCACGTAAGCCTAGTTTCGCACCTTTGACCTTTGCTTGAGCCCCTGGCATCGCTCTCTCCTCTCTCCGTCGCTCTTCCTCGTCTCTCTGGGCGCTCTCGTCGCTCACCTCGCTCTCAGTCTCGCTTTCCCTCTCTTTCTCCCGGCCGCTCCCGCGCTTCACTTCGTGAGAGCGCGGGCCACTTGGTGGCGGATCCGACGGTTCCAACCAGGAAGGTTCCTAGTGACACGAGTTTGCCACATGCGGCTTGCGCAGCCGTGGCCTGGGGAGCTCACCCACGTTCCACTCGCAGAAACGGCCTTTTCTGTCGCTGGGACAAGAAACAAGAAACAAGAAACAAGAAGCAGACTGATCTGCGTTCGTGGCCTTGTAACCCCATCTAGCATGACTTGAATGCGCAATCAAGTCTCACCCCGCCCTGGCAACACTCACTCTGACAGCACCAAAAGATCGTACATACACAAGTTGCGTAAAAAATGATATCATAGTCCTGCGATGCATAGAAGACACGTCATAATCTTCACGTGCAAACGGAGCATGCAAAGTTCTAAGCTGGTCAAGGGTCTATTAACCATTAAAACCTGCTCTCTCAAAGGCCAAACCGCCGAGCACAAAGAGCTGAAGCAACTTAGCCACTCCGTTCGTTTCATTCATTTCATTCAGAATGTGGCTGTCCATGCGTATTTACCAGAAGCGCACTGGGAATGCGTTGATTGTACGCGGGCTCTGCGCGGCAACGGCTCGACAAGCACGGGGGAGAATCATGGCGATATTTGCAAGCGGGCCTACCGTATCACGGCCCAATCAAATCTGAAAGATCGTTGTTCGTAAAGCGTGGAAGATTTCGAAGCTTTGAACTTTGGCTGGCAAAACGAAACTCAAACAAATGCCTTGCGAAGACAAACGAAGCTCGCGTTCTGAGCCCAGCTCCTCTGGTCATCCATCGCCATGCTGAGGACTTGCCGGCCGTGAAGTCACCTCAAGCAATTCAATTCTCACGAAAGCCAACATGCGCAAGCATGACAGCCAGGAAATGACTCAGTTGACGTGTTGCAGCGTTTGGCCACGCCTCTGCAAGCTCTGCGTGCCTCAGAAGTGCCTCGGCAACCTCTGCATCTGCCTCGACTGAGGGCGAGGGCTCCTGAGAAATAATGTTCATATGCGGAACTATGGACCACATAAGCAGGATACATGTACCTAGCGGCATGCTGTGATGTGATACAGCATAATATGATACAGGATGGTGTGATATGTATACATTATATTGTGCTAGTGCTATGATCTTACTAGTGGTTCGAGATGTTTGCATTGTACTCACAATAGCATGTATGGACCGCTATGGTGTATGGCATGACATGATACATTGTGAGATACGGCATAAAATGAATGGCGCGGTATGAAGTAGCATGACAAATGATAAAACACGGTATGATATATTCTGCGAGATCAGTCGATACGTCAGAAGCTATAATAAAAATCATAAGTGACATGATATAGCATGGCACGGTATCATAATATGCGGTGTCGCTAGATTTAAAGCGTGTCAACCATTAGCTGTGGTTGATGAGGTATAACGCTTGAACATGGTACATGACACATGATCCATATTGTGTGATCTGTAAACCTATCATATAAGATTATGTACGACGTGCCAATGTGTCTTGAGCGGCGTTTTTGTGGGAAAGAAAAATACTGTGCCAGGTATTATTTGCTACCAGGTACAACACGAAACAAGTGCAAGCTGCAGTACTGTGGCCTGAAGCTGACACACATGCGAAGTGGTGCATATCGGTAATGTGATTAATGTGAATTCATATGACGTGTTGTCTCGAGATCCATTTTGCTTTTCGACATTGGAGCAAACGAAACAGGAAGGTAGTAACAACATACGAGAAAATTGTGGTTCATAAGCTGTCAGGAAAAGCAACTGGCAACTCGTCCTGGACGACCTCACCGCCATACTGAGGACTAACTGGCCGCGAAGCCTCCTGAGGCGTCTTGGCTGAGTTGGTACACACCTGATATTCACCCAAGATTCTTATCAAACTCCTGCCTCTGAGTCCGGATGCCAGTCATGCCCAGGGCTATCTGGCTCCTCGGGCAAGCCAGGCAATCACGGCAAGTAAACATGGCCTCAAGCTCCAGACTTTCTGCCGAGACTTGCACAAATCAATTCATGTGCTTGAATGAACTGGAACACTAATTCTGCTCGATTGGGGCATCGGTGTTGGGCTCTCTGCTGAGCTTTCAATGCCTTGCAGTGTTTATTCATGGTCGAAAGCATTGACGACCCAACGCAAGAGAAATGGGGTCTTTCCTCACTGCACACCCCGCGTGCCAGGGCAAACAACTGGTCCTCAACCTGCCCTTCTCTTGAATCCTGGCCATGCTGAGGACTTGCCGGCCGTGAAGTCACCTCAAGCATTTTTATTCTCACGAAACCCAACATGCGCAAGCATGACAGCCAGGAAATGACTCAGTTGACGTTTTGCAGTGTTTGGCCACGCCTCTGCAAGCTCTGCGTGCCTCAGAAGTGCCTCGGCAACCTCTGCATCTGCCTCGACTGAGGGCGAGGGCTCCTGAGAAGAAATGTTCATATGCGGAACTATGGAGCAAATTGGAGTGCTTCAAGACAGAAGGAAGAGTCATTACAGTGACTCCACGACAAAATACAAACGCGGTTCATTAATTGCGATGCAATACATTATGCAGTCAAACGTGCTTGCTGTAGCGGTTCAAGTCGGGTCAACATATCTGTGCAGTATGCGAAGTACGCTTTGATAGTTTAAGCTCGCAAATCGCATATTATTCTGAGTGCAAGTGTAGTATGCAAGCTGCGCTTTGTCAACTCCAGCTCGACAATTGCAACGATTCGAGACCGGCGCACTGCGCCATTGCTACTGCTGCTGGCTAGCCAAGCAGCTGCACAGCTGACAAGCTTGTTCGCGCAATGCACATCAAACCCTCTCTTCCACCTGCAGGTCCGGCTCAAGAGTCGCAACATGTCGCAACTTCACAGGGAGAACACGAAGCACGCTTGTGGCCCAGCTTGAAAGTCGCTACTTTTCGTACAAGTTACGCGCGAAGTGCGCTTACCCAGCTCTGGCTTGATTGCCATGAGAATGAGACGCGTTGCCAGTTGCGGCATGATATGACGCTAAGCGTTGTGACACGGCACTAGTCGAAGTGCCGCGGACAGACCCGCAAAGAATGCGACCCGCAGCTCAGATGGAATGCCCGGCACTGTGGGCACTCGCCGCGGCTACCCTTGCGCGCTTCTGGTAAAAGGGTCAACACGGAGCCTATTGCTAGGCTCAACAAGAGCCGCAAGCTTTCAGCCGAAGGAGAGATTGCCATCTGATGGGCCGGGCTCCAGGAACCCCAAAGCCTATGAGCCTATGTCGAGCATCGTCCTTGCTGTCTCTGTCCGACCCTGTCCCCAAGTTGGCACGCGCCGGGAACAGCCAGTTTGCACGTGAACAGCCCAGTTGGCGCCTGTATACAATCTTCTGCACCCATTCAGGTTGAGTTAAGCGACCAATATCCTGAGCAGTGTTGCCCGTTGAAGCTTGTTGCCGGGCTTCGCGCATTGCGAAAAGAGTGACCTGATGTGAGTTGAAACGACGTGTTGTCTCAAGAACCAAACAGAAGCAATCTTAAGACATTGGAGCAAACGAAACAGGAAGGTAGTAACAACATACGAGAAATGTGTGGTTCATAAGCTGTCAGGAAAAGCAACTGGCAACTCGTCCTGGACGACATCACCGCCATACTGAGGACTAACTGGCCGCGAAGCCTCCTGAGGCGTCTTGGCTGAGTTGGTGCACCCTGATACTCACCCGTTCAAGTTTCAGACTTTCTTCCGAGACTAGCACACAATTCGATTCATGTGCTGGAAGGAACTGGAACACTGCAGAATTGCTCGATTGGGGCATCGGTGTTGGCTGAGTTTTCAATGCTTTGCAGTGCTTCCTCATGGTCGAAAGCAGCGACGACCCAACTACGCAAGGGATGCTGACGAGAAATGCCACCCCGAGTCAGGACAAACAAATGGTCCTCAACTTGCCGTTCTCTTGAATCCTCGCCATGCTGAGGACTTGCCGGCCGTGAAGTCACCTGAAGCATGTTTATTCTCATGAAACCCAACATGCGCAAGCATGACAGCCAGGAAATGATTCAGTTGACGTGTTGCAGCGTTTGGCCACGCCTCTGCAAGCTCTGCGTGCCTCAGAAGTGCCTCGGCAACCTCTGTATCTGCCTCGACGGAAGGCGAGGGCTCCTGAGAAGAAATGTTGCACGAAAGGGGTGCTTCAAGGCAGAAAGAATTCTTAAAGTCTTTTGAATGCAACATGCAAACACGCTGAACCAAAATCAACACATGTTGAATTACGCCGCAACGCGTGTAACATACGGTCTCAACACGTGAACACGTGACATGGTCGCGGTAGTGACTGAGCGCTTGCCTTGTATATTGTCTGAGGTTTGATATCATATGACCCGGTATGATATGATTGATGCCAGGTACAACGCGCTGTGACACTGTGATTCGGTACAAGTCCACGCCGCGGTTAACACCCCTGAGATCAAACGGAACAGGAAGGTAGTAACAAGATGAGAAAAGCTAGTGTAAGCTGTCAAGCAAAGCCACTGGCAACTCGTCCTGGACAACCTCAACGCCATTCTGAGCACAATCTGCCCGCGAAGCCTGAGGCGTCTTGGCTGAGTTGGCACGCCCCCGAGCCAGCGTCAATACTTGCTGCGTGGGCATTCAGTCTATAGTGAGTCCCCTATTCTTCGCGCGCCCAATGAGCCCTCGGCAGGGATCGCACGCGAGCCGCTCTCACTGCGCGCGAGCGCGTGAAGCGCCCGATCAATGGGAGGAGTGCGAGAGCGCAACCCTCGTGCGACGTGCGAGTTTGAAAAGCGCCCGATGAACCCACTGGGATCCTGCGGGAAGCGCTCTCGCTGTGAAGGCGTGCGAACTTGACAAGCGCCTGACGTTCCTACTCTACCGGCATGCGCCAACAGCACCCAAGCAACGCGCCGTGCAGTCAGGCAGGCTTAGTGTGAACTGAATACTTTGAATCTTGCGGCTGCAGCTCTTTGAGGACCGCGTTGACTTTTTTTTCGCCGAAGGAACTGCGCTTGTCTTTTGTAAGCAAACACACTAGGTCTCACGTTGGCTTCTCCGTGACATTGTCAGGGCATCGATCGGGCATCAACCGGTGTATCGTTCTGGGCGCGTGTCATGTCACTTTGCGAAAAAGCCATTGGAGCCTAGCAAACATGCGCAGGTCACTTATGTGATCGGCGAATGGCACTAACTATGCTTGGTGAAGGGTCGGGCGGGCCCAACCATCGGTTTAGGAGGTTTTGCTTGCTGGCTGCAACGTCCAGGTCGCAAGTTGCAACTTTCAGTATAAGCGCGGTACACAAGTCACACTTTGGCAGCTCCAGCTCCAAGGTCGCAGCTTTCGCCCCACATGACACTTGAGTAAGAAACTTCATGATCGAATGCATGATGTTTGCAAACCATGTTCAAGCGGGTATCGCTTTATGTGAGCTCTCTATCGCTCTCCAAAGCAAATGCAAAAACCCAGTCTTGAAATAAGATGCCTTTACCTGAGTAGTCTTTGATAATTCAGAAGTTGCTCCAGTAAACATGGCCTCAAGCTCCAGACTTTCTTCCGAGACTTGCACAAATCAATTCATGTGCTGGAAAGGAAAGGAAGCCGGAATTTGGAGACTTGCCCAACTATGACATCTCTGACCTTTGCCTTCCGCCTTCTGCAATATCCCCCTCTCGCGCCTCATCACGGGGACCATCAGCCGTCACAGGCTCCTGCACGCTCTGGCTGCTGGGACCGTGCAGTCATAAGATTCCTCACAAAGTTAATCTTGCTGTCAGACTCAATCTGCAACAGAAAAATGGTTGCTGTTGGCTTTTCTCCATCCTTGGTATTTCCGCGCTATTGTTGAGAAATACACTGCTCCCCCCAGAGCATGAGTCAATAGGTCTGGGCATCCGTCTGCAGAATTGCTCGATTGGGGTATCGGTGTCGGGCCCTCTTCTGAGTTTTCAATGCCTTGCAGTGCTTCTGCATGGTCGAAAGCATCGACGACCCAACAAAGCGAGGGATGCTGACGAGAGAAATGGGGTCTTTCCTCACTGCACACCCCGCGTGCCAGGGCAAACAACTGGTCCTCAACCTGCCCTTCTCTTGAATCCTCGCCATGCTGAGGACTCACAGCAGGTGAAGCCTCCTGAGGCGTCTTGATATTCACCCAAGATTCTTATCAAACTCCTGCCTCTGAGTCCGGATGCCAGTCATGCCCAGGGCTATCTGGCTCCTCGGGCAAGCCAGGCAATCACGGCAAGTAAACATGGCCTCAAGCTCCAGACTTTCTTCCGAGACTTGCACAAATCAATTCATGTGCTGGAAAGGAAAGGAAGCCGGAATTTGGAACTTGCCCAACTATGACATCTCTGACCTTTGCCTTCCGCCTTCTGCAACATGTAAACCCTCGCGCGCCTCATCACGGGGACCATCAGCCGGCACAGGCTCCTGCACGCTCTGGCTGCTGGGACCGTGCAGTCATGAGATTTGCAGTCATAACATTCCTCACAAAGTTAATCTTGCTGTCAGACTCAATCTGCAACAGAAAAATTGGTTGCTTTTGGCTTTTCTCCATCCTTGGCATTTCCGCGCTATTGGGAAATAGACTGCTCCCCCCACAGCATGAGTCAATAAGTCTGGGCATCCGTCCGAGCATTGGTCAGGGCATCGCTAGGAAACAAAGCTCCTCACTGCAGAATTGCTCGATTGGGGTATCGGTGTCGGGCCCTCTTCCGAGTTTTCAATGCCTTGCAGTGCTTCTGCATGGTCGAAAGCATCGACGACCCAACAAAGCGAGGGATGCTGACGAGAGACATGGGGTCTTTCCTCACTGCACACCCCGCGTGCCAGGGCAAACAACTGGTCCTCAACCTGCCCTTCTCTTGAATCCTCGCCATGCTGAGGACTCACAGCAGGTGAAGCCTCCTGAGGCATCTTGATATTCACCCAAGATTCTTATCAAACTCCTGCCTCTGAGTCCGGATGCCAGTCATGCCCAGGGCTATCTGGCTCCTCGGGCAAGCCAGGCAATCACGGCAAGTAAACATGGCCTCAAGCTCCAGACTTTCTTCCGAGACTTGCACAAATCAATTCATGTGCTGGAAAGGGAAGGAAGCCGGAATTTGGAACTTGCCCAACTATGACATCTCTGACCTTTGCCTTCCGCCTTCTGCAACATCTCCCTCGCGCGCCTCATCACGGGGACCATCAGCCGGCACAGGCTCCTGCACGCTCTGGCTGCTGGGACCGTGCAGTCATAAGATTCCTCACAAAGTTAATCTTGCTGTCAGACTCAATCTGCAACAGAAAAGTTGGTTGCTTTTGGCTTTTCTCCATCCTTGGCATTTCCGCGCTATTAAGAAATACACTGCTCCCCCCAGAGCATGAGTCAATGGGTCTGGGCATCCGTCCGAGCATTGGTCAGGGCATCGCTAGGAAACAAAGCTCCTCACTGCAGAATTGCTCGATTGGGGTATCGGTGTCGGGCCCTCTTCTGAGTTTTCAATGCCTTGCAGTGCTTCTGCACGGTCGAAAGCATCGACGACCCAACTACGCGAGGGATGCTGACGAGAGAAATGGGGTGCCAGGGCAAACAGCTGGTCCTCAACCTGCCATTCTCTTGAATCCTCCCCATGCTGAGGACTCACAGCAGGTGAATCCTCCTGAGGCGTCTTGATATTCACCCAAGATTCTTATCAAACTCCTGCCTCTGAGTCCGGATGCCAGTCATGCCCAGGGCTATCTGGCTCCTCGGGCAAGCCAGGCAATCACGGCAAGTAAACATGGCCTCAAGCTCCAGACTTTCTTCCGAGACTTGCACAAATCAATTCATGTGCTGGAAAGGGAAGCAAGCCGGAATTTGGACACTTGCCCAACTATGACATCTCTGACCTTTGCCTTCCGCCTTCTGCAACATCTCCCTCGCGTGCCTCATCACGGGGACCATCAGCCGGCACAGGCTCCTGCACGCTCTGGCTGCTGGGAGTCATAAGATTCCTCATAAAGTTGATCTTGCTGTCAGACTCAATCTGCAACAGAAAAGTTGGTTGCTTTTGGCTTTTCTCCATACTCCTTGGCTTTTCCGCACTATTTGGAAATAAACTGCTCCCCCCAGAGCATGAGTCAATAGGTCTGGGCATCCGTCCGAGCATTGGTCAGGGCATCGCTAGGAAACAAAGCTCCTCACTGCAGAATTGCTCGATTGGGGTATCGGTGTTGGGCCCTCTTCTGAGTTTTCAATGCCTTGCAGTGCTTCTGCATGGTCGAAAGCATCGACGACCCAACTACGCGAGGGATGCTGACGAGAGACATGGGGTCTTTCCTCACTGCACACCCCGCGTGCCAGGGCAAACAACTGGTCCTCAACCTGCCCTTCTCTTGAATCCTCGCCATGCTGAGGACTCACAGCAGGTGAAGCCTCCTCAGGCGTCTTGATATTCACCCAAGATTCTTATCAATCTCCTGCGTCTGGCGCCTCATCACGGGGACCATCAGCCGGCACAGGCTCCTGCACGCTCTGGCTGCTGGGACTGTGCAGTCATAAGATCGCAACATCGACGCCCTGCGCAATGGATGCAGACCGCAAAGTTGGGGTCTTTCTTCGCTGCGCACTCTGCGTCAGGACAAACAAGCCACAAACAACTGGTCGTTGCACCCTTTCGTCGGGGTTTGGCCAAAGGGGTCACATCAGGCTGAGGCGACAAAACTGAAAACGTGGAAAACATGGTCCAATAGGCACAGGTTTGGTTTGTTATTCGTATGCTGGAATGCTCTAGAATCCGGAATTGGGACGCGTCCAACTGCCTCCAAACACTGGCAATCAACGGCTGGCACCTCAATCAGATCGTCTGGCATCGGCTCCTGCAGTCGTTCAATCTTCACGTGGCCGTGGCAGCTGCTCAGTCCTGCTCCAGGAACCGTGCGATCTCCTGCAGGCTCCGTGCAGTCCAACCCTCGAAAGGGCTTCGATGTCCTCGTTGACAGCTGCGGCGTCAAGGAGCGCGTCCGCCTCTTCCTCAACCTGCAGGTCATGCGCTCGCGGTCCCCGCCGTTGCGCGCCCAGTGTTACAGGGAAAGCTTCGCCTCATCCTCAGGAGGCTCTTCACCTGGCGAATCTGCACCAAGTCGATTCTGACGACGTGACGCTACGCTCGAAGGCCTTTGTCAGCAGCCGCCTGGGACAGCGTGCCCGCAGCCCTGCGAAAGCATGCCAAGCGGTTCGACAACTCAAGGCAGCGGGCAAAGCCAGCAAAGCAAAAAAGGCACCACACACAAAGTCTTTCAAGCAAGCTGTTGTACGAGGTGGAACTTGCTGGGTTCATACTCTTCGACTATAGCTTCAGAAGCGCATGATCCGTGGGTCTCAGATGACCTGACCAGGCGACATGTAGAGCCATGTGAATCCGACAAGCTCATGAACCTGTCTATTTTTGAGCAAGGAGAAGATTTCCTCTCCGAGCTCTCGTTTCAGTGTTGATACGAGTTCAGAAAAATCCAGCGACCCAATAGATTGTTGTGGTATTTGTTGCTGATGTCCTGCCGGGCCGCTCTGGTTGGAACATTCAAAGTTGGGCCGGGCTGCTCTTCCGTTGAGCCTGTGTTTCTGGGAACTCGGCGGTTCGGGCGGCTCGGGCGGCTTGGGCGGCTCGGGCGGCTCGGGCGGCTCGGGCGGCTCGGCCTGAGGCTGAGATCGTGGAGCTCGTAGCCGAAGAGCGCCACGCGGCTGGCCACGCTCCGGCGCAGCAGCCGCGCCTTGCCCCGACAGGGCCCGGAGAACGAAACCGTCGTTGAAGTGCGCAAAAATGTCGAAATCTGTCAAATTCACGTGTTCATCCGAAAGAATGGGCGAGGATTGCTTAAGCCGGTGTCACTTCATGAGACGGTCGAGACATGGCACTTACGATACATGACAGCAATGGCACACCTGAAGAATCATAGGCTTGTCAAAGGGCGCAAAAGGTGGGTCATACGGGGCTTGTCGCTTTCTTCAGTAGCTTGGCCACCGAGCTGTTGTGACTTTTGTGACTCTAGCCAGCGCATAAAAGCGCCCGTGACAAGTCTTGGGAGGGCCATTTCCTCAACTTGAAGGTTGGCAGGTGCAGCTGTCACTTCCTTTGAGGTCAGGGTCGCTTGACTTCCCCCAAGTATGCCTTACCCGAGGGTTACAGTGTATCCTCTTGTGGGGCTCAGAGACTTGTAGTTTGCGAAACCTGTGGATGTTCATCCTCGGAAAACAAACCAGAATGGTAGATGCTCTCGAGGACATGTCGGAGATCAGCAGCGCCGACTACAAGCTGTTGACTGAGTGACTTATGCACGTGACCTGTGCTTGCGTGTATTCGTACCGGTCCTGCTCTGTACATGCCGATTTAACACTACCAACGATTCGTGCTCTTCTTTTTTCGTGCAACGTACTCATCTACTCTCTGGCATCACTTGACCGCCGGACGTGGCACCGCCTGGTCCTGCTGTGTGTTACAAGCACTTGGGTTTGTCAACTGGACCAACGGGTGTGTGTGTGTGCTCGGGGAGCTCGATGCGGTGTACAGTTGCAAGTTGGGCCTTCTCCCCCGATCGTGGAGCTGGGCACGGAGAAAAAGAAACAAAGGGAAACAAGAAAAGAGAGAGGCGCACTCACAGGGTGGCAGAAGGCGGAGGGTGGCAAACCAAACAATGATTGCTGGAGAAGAAAGAGAAAGGACAAAGGAGGAGGAAGAAAAAGGAATGGGAGCAGATACGCAATGCACGGAAGGACAAAAGGAGGGAAGACAGTGGCACAAGCTGAGACCGGCGACAGAGCTCCAAGCCCCATGCCCGGGAAAGAAAGACACAGAAAGACACAGAAAGACACAGAAACCAGGGCAACCGGCAACCAGCAGCCAAGTCCGGAGTACGAGATCCGATCCCGAGCCTGCTGAAGCTGGGACTCCCGGTGCTCGCTGCGCTCGCGCCACGCCTCGTGGTCCTCGGACTTTCCCGCATCGCAATCGATCTCCGGAGATCAAACAGTTCGAAGACGGAAAAGGGAAAAGAGAAAGAAGGATAAAAAGGCAAAGAGAACGGAAAAGAGAATTTGAAAAGGGAAAAGCGATCCCGTCAACAGATCATTCGACTCGCAAATCGAGGTCCTTTGCCACGGTCTCCAGGTGCCTCGCATGACCGATCTCAGTCTCGTCCCCTCCCCATCCGGGGCTCGCACTGCTCCAGCTTCTCGCGGCGCTTGCTCTCCTCTCCGACTCTTGGAATTCCCAAGAAGCAAATTCTGTGCAATCCTCCAACCACCAAAACTGCATTTCAACTCAGAGGCAGAGCACACATATTGACGCATTGGACGGATGTGCTGGGGAATTCGGAATTCATTCACATTCACTTCTTTTGACTTCCTTCGCATGAGCTTTCTTCAATGTGCGTGCTCCAGCAAATTGCGTGCTCGCACTTACATTGACGACACCTGGATTGACTTCCCATCCCGCCTCCATTCCTTCCCGTCGAACCCTCCGGAACTCCTTGCAAGTCCGGCAAGTCTGAATTGAAAGGGAGAAAAATGAGAATGGGTATATGATATATAAATTATATATATATATATATGTGGTACCCCCCTGGAATACTCAGGTTTTTGGCCAGAAATTGACATGTTGGCTGTAAAAATGCATGCAAAACACACGTTCCAGCTTCTAAAATCAGGCTCTAAAAAATGCACTCCTTTTTAGACTTAAATTCTAGCATCGGTACTTAGTGTAATCCAGGATGTGCTAGCACGTGCTAGCACGTCCTGGATTGAAGATTGAAGATTGAAGATTCTCAGACCACTTGTTCTGGAAATCTTCAATCCGTCCTTAGGACTAACTGGTATGTGCTAGATGGATGTTAGTTTGTCCTCAGGATGGATTGAAGATTTCCAGAACAAGTGGTCTGAGAATCTTCAATCTTCAGTCTTCAATCCAGGATGTGCTAGCACGTGCTAGCACATCCTGGATTACTCTAAGTACATATTTGGAGAATTTCAGAAAGAGTTGTCAGAGAATCTTGAATCTCCCATCCAGATCCTGGATTGCCGTAAGTGCGGATTTGAAGACCGGGAGTGCACATTGTCAGAATCAAAATGTGGATGTGCACTTGCACTGCCTGCAATTGGCCAGGGGGAAAAATGTTGCTGACATCTTTGCATTTTTTGTGGACTTGAGGGCTGGCTAGGATAGAAGATTCTCAAATAGAAAATCTGGTAGATCTTCAATCTTCAATGCAGGGGGCGAAACCTTGATGAGTCTAGAACAAGCTGTCAAGTTTTTGGGGGACCAGGATTGAGTACATTCTAAACATGTGTGTGGAATCTTGTATATTCGATGTTCGATCCAGGGCAACACGATCTGAGCAAATGCTGAAAAACACTGCGTTTTGCAGCATTTATGCAAAGAATAGGATCTATGATTGAAAACACGTTCCTGTCATTGGCTTGGCTCAGTTCTTGCTTGGTTCAAACCACATGGAGTTCGAAGGACAATAACCCTTTCAAAATTGAGTTTGATTCCAAATTTATTTGGCCATGACAATAGCTATCTTCTCCAGTTGATTCTTGAAATGCGCAAGAAACTGCAAACGAGTAAACTTGAATTTGGTTTGAACTCGACAGCTTTTTTTTAACTGGATATTATTCCCTTACTTGAATTTCAATAGTTGTTAGTGGCGATGATGGAACCAACTTAGAAAAGCAACACACGCACACACACACACACACACACACACACACGTGGGATAGTTGATTTGCAACATATGTTTCAATTAGACTGAACTAGCATGTCAGGAATTATGCACAACACTCGAGTTAACATGTAAATGTAACTGCGAAAGGATATGAATAGGAATGAGTACCTTTTCCCCGAAATGATGCTTTGCCGAATTTCGCTGCCAAACAAAAATAATAAACACCAAATAATAGGGCTGCTACAGGCGCGTTGAAGCTGCCAAAACATACTTTGCGCACTACTCCTGTACTGAACAGTTGTATTTTTTTGAGCTGGAGCTGCCAAATTGCACTTTGCATACTCCAATGTGACTTTAAGTGCACTTCGCGCGCCAATGTGACGGTCACACAACTCGCAACTCCTAATCAACGTTGAGCTTAACTTCTGCTTGGTTAGATTGTTACCCCCAGTCTGGCCAAAAACCTCAGTTCTGTCCAAAAACCTGAGTATTTCAAGGGGGGGGTAGCATACATATATATATATATATATATGCAACCCCCCTCCCTCAAAACCCTACTGCCTATGTAAGCAAATGATGACCTTTTTCCAGTCATTTCATACATTTCTGGTCACACACTCAAGCTATTTCAACACAAGTTGCTTGGACAGTTAGCATAACAAGCACAAAGTTTGGTACAGTGAAAAAACGAAGTCTTGGTAGCGTGTCATATTACACAGGGCCAGCCTAATTTTGTTTTGGCATAGTTTTCATCGCTAATGTTATCCTCGCTCAATTGACTGTAAAATATCCCTGTTTGGGTACCCGTGCAACCTCTTCTGTTTCGCCTACACATCTTCGATTTCTCACCTCAGCTGATGTGCAAATCCTATTCGTCTGTCAACTTACAAACCTGTGGCAATACCAAAACATCTGCCACGCATCCTCCATCTCACATCTCAACTACTTTGCAATTCCACTTCGTCTGTCAGCTCACAAACCTTGGCCAATACCAAAACATCTGCTCACACCTCATATGCCCTGACCAATGCCACATTCTGCACAAAACCTGCAAAACAGCATGCAAAACACTGGAATGTACAGTGTTGTTTTCAATATCCAACAATTGGTGTGGAGTTTAAGCCATTCAGCAATATCCAATGTCCACATACTGAACTATCAACTGTATTTACTGCGCCCAAGTCGAAAAGGAAAATACGGTGCACACCCAAAAAAGAATGACTGAAAGCAGACATTGCAAAGCGCGTTCAAGCGCTCTTGAACTAATATTCAAGATTCAACATTCCCCGGACTCTAGATCTTGAATCTTGAATCCAGTATGGGGCCCCCAAAACGCTTTGAAGCGCTTTAAAGCACTTTTAAATCTAAACCACAAATTCAAAATTCCCCGGACTCTAGATCTTGAATCTTGAATCCAGTATGGGGCCCCCAACACGCTTTAAAGCGCTTTAAAGCACTTTTGCATCTGAAATCCAAGATTCAACATTCCCCGCACTCTAGATCTTGAACCTTGAATTCAGTATAGGGCCCCCAAAACGCTTTGAAGCGCTTTAAAGCGCTGTTTCCAAGATTCAAGACTCAAGAACCAGAGTCCTGGGAATATTGAATCTTGAATCTGGGATCCGGAAGTGCTTTAAAGCGCTTTGGGGGTCGTCAATCTGGATTCAAGATTCAACATCTCGTCTCCTGAAAATCTTGAATCTTGAATTTCACATCCAAAAGTGTGTTGAAGCGCTTTGAAGCGTTTTAGGTGGATACAGTCACAGTCAACTGTAAGCAAATGCGAGCATGGTTAAATGCTCAAAGCTGGAGTGCCTGAAAGGGGGCTGGAAATCACGCAAAAAGTACTGCAAATATCGTCAAACTCTCTTGGGGCGTGTTTTTTGCTTTTGTTTTGTTTGTCTTTTTGGGCGGGTACCACACGATATATATATATATATGCAATGCCAGTTGCCTCGTACAAGCGGCTGAGCTCGGCTTCCAGCCGCGTGCCTTGGTCTCTCTCCCTCCCCGTGAGGCGTATCGGACGGGTGGCGCGTCGGGTCTCGCCGCTGGGTCGCCCGGCACTCCCGGCGCAGCTCCTGCGCCTCCCGCTGCGCCTTCTGCACCTCCTCCCGGCCCTTCGCCTAACTCGAACCCAAAGAACTGTCAAGGTCGAAGCTTCGACAACATGCGAAAAGGAAAACAAATTTCAAAAAAGAAAAGAAGAAAAAAAAACGACGCATCGACATGGACTCCGGCCGAGCTGTCGAGCTTCCTGAGCAAAGCTACGCTCGGGAGCTGGTGGGCAGGGCTCGGAACACCTAAGGTCCTGGCTCCACCTGCGCCAGAAAGCATGTCCCAAAGTCTCCCCGAAGTCTCTCCGAAGTCTCGTCAGCCCGTCCCCTGCCTCGCGATATGAGGGCATCCGCTGGATCTCCTCCGGAGCGTCCTCATGAGGCTATCTCCCCATGTACGCGTGATGTGTTGCAGTCTTCCACCTGGGCAGCCTCAAAGCTCATCTGCCACTCCTACAGCCAGCCGCACCAGGCATCTCCAAACATGCTCAACAAGAAACAAAAAAAACATTCGCTGAAAATGGCAACAGCAAAAGTGCCTGAAACTTCTTGCTCCACTTCTTCTCTGCACGCTCTTCGGCCTGAGTGATCTCCCATGCCATGGACAGCACGCGTACCGTACCACTCCCGTGCATCGCACGCTCCGAGCGCCTTTTTGCTTCGCAGGGCGAGCTGCACAGCTTCTGTAGCTGTCAAAACGAGGCCCAAGGCCTCAAACTCTTCCTGCAGTCTGTCACTTGTTGGCATTTCACATACGTTCACATTCGGACACTGGTGTGCACTTCGCATCGCATACTATACAGAACTCATGGTCGGGGTTTCGGCTTCTGTGCTTTCTGTTTGGGCTTCGGAGCTTGGCACCTTCTGGTGGTAGAACTGAGACTGAGGCATCTGAGCACTCATCTGGTTCATCATCATGAACTGCGGCATGAGCTGTGGGCACATGACCATGGGCACCATGCCCGGCATGCCGGGCATGGCCATGCCCATGAAGGGCAGGAACTGCGTCTCGGCCTCCAAGGCCTGGACGGAGGACTCCAAGCTGTGCTGCTTGGTGCAGAGCTCCTGGAGCAGGTCGTAGATCTGGTTGAACTTGGCGGTCTCCTCGCGCTCGAAGTCCTCCAAAGCCTCCGTCATCTCCCTCTGCGCCTGCTGCAGCTTCTGCTCCACGCGGAAGTGGAAGGGGCTGCCGCCCATGGCAGAGGAAGCGCACGGGGCACGGGAGGGAACGACTGACGGGGAAGGACGTGCCAAGCCGCCCAAGTGTTCCGAGCCTGGCAGCGATCGATTTGATGGCCTGGCGTCAATCCCGAGACAAACCAAATGCGAGCCACTGGGACCCGCCGAAGAGCATCAAGCCCGGCACTCGTCTGCGCTCACGCATCCAGTCCGGGACCTGCACCCATGGGCGGAAGCGAGCCCGCAACATGCACGTGGCCTGAGAAGCACGCAACCATCTCCGGGTTTGGTGGAACACACCAATGCAAGGCAACAAAGGGCACGCCGGGCACGCCACGCCTTCTCTGGCTTGGCATCCCGCTTCTCCTTCTCCACAACCTTCAAAAAGAGAACGTGGCCTTCTCCGGTCCGACCCGGCCCAGTCTGCGCCTTCCAGACGTTCTCCCTGCCTGGCGCTCGCTCGTCGGGCAAAGCGGAAGACCGCGGCCGGTCCTGAGAAGGTCACGTCATAGACCTCTTTCAGGAACTGGGCCTCAGGGACGGGAAGGAAGCGTCGGAGCGGAGCACGCAAAAGGTTTCCCGCCTTGGCCTGGCGGCCCAGGACCGGGCCTCGCTTGCCGATGCTGACTTCACTTGAGTCGAACCTGTGGCCCCGGGCTGGAGCGGATCTCTGGCAGCGGCATCCGGGTCTACCCTAAGCCTCGCACATCTCCCCCGCTTGAGAACACAAACGGCACCGACTCAGACAGCTCCGAGGCCGTTCTCGAGGCCACAAGCAGCACCTTCCTTTTTTGAGACTCACCGCCCTTGCTTCTTCAGCGCTTCGTCAGGGGGCAGCAAATCTACAACCTGAAAAGACGACAATTGGATGCTAGCCTCTAGTGGACCCAAGAACAAACTACATGTTGATGCCGGCAATTTGACTGTGTGCGGCACGCTCGTCTTCGACAAGTGCTCCTGGGGTTCTGTCCACGCCCAACTTCGAGAGCCAGCAATGTCACAATGTCGGCGTGTCGGAATGTCCTGAGTGATGTGCGCGCGATAGTTCTGGGTCTCCGGGTTCAGAGACGCCTCGGCGTCGGTGCATCTCGAGCCCGGGCTTGGGCCCATTGGGGCCTGGATCACCTCGTACCTGATCATGTCCGTGCCCGACTTCAGGTCCGCGACCTCGGCTTTCCGACAGGCGACGCGCCAAGCTGGAGCCGAGAGCGAAGCCCAGGCGTCTTCCGACTTGAGGGAGGCTTGCTGACGCAGGGCGCGGGCCGTCTCCGCCCTGTACTGGCAGTTCGCAAACAAAAAGTAGCACTCCGGAGAAACCGAGAAACCGCCTGAGCTGCCGCTGAATCTGCGGGTCAGCCGCAAAGGTCGTCTTCACCGCACGGCAAAAGTCCCGGTACCTGAGCGCGCACTCGAGTTTTCGAATCGCGGCGCGCGATGGAAGGGGCACGCGCCGGCAACACGTAGAGATCTTACGGCCATCACTCGAATCGATCTATCTGCTTCCTGGTGCGCCCAGGAGCTATGCGTCTGTCAAACCTGCAACATCTCCCAAGGTCACATTGACCCTCATGACATGCATCCCATTCCCGCTCTGGATAGGCATGAAAGCGTTTCTCAGATGTGGCATCCTGAAAGCTAGGAAAACCTCAAAATGCTTAAGAATATGGCTCCGACAACTGCAAAAGCAATGCGCAAAATGCAACGATTGCGGTCCCTCAACAAGCCAGCACGCCAAACTCAAATGTGACCAGCCACTGGCCACTGATGAAGGATTCTGAAGCGGATGATCTCAAATCGTGTGCTAATCATGACACCAACTGGTCGGTGCAAGACACATCGGCAATCTCTTCTTGAGCTTTTCCGCATTCTTGAAAATATCGGAATCTTCGGGTGCCTTTCTTGTTCCATGTGATGACATGACCTAAAGATTAATTGCATTTGCATCTTCATCCTTGCATGCATACGATCAATGGGCGTAGATTTGTGAGGGTATCTTGCCTTTCGCGTAAGGACAATCGGAAGGTCAAGCACTATTTGTTAGGTCCCCATTTACACCTGCATGCATCCACAGCATCACGCTACATGCTGTTTGCTGAGAAGACTGCAAAAGCCCTTGAAGTGAGTCAATGAGCCAAGGATGCTCTCAAACAAATACCGCAGGTGTGAATTGCTTGCAAGTATCCTCAAGCGACTGCTTTTGAGTGGCGTGTACGTCAGATACTGGCCCCCGGGGCTCGTCATGGGCGCTCAAGACTCTGTGACTCCGATGGGCGCTGACTTCCCGCTTTTTCCCGGTAAGCTGAAGTGCAGTCGGTGAAAATGTGCCACAAATGCAGAGAGGCCCGGGCTCCTCCCAGTCGTCCCAACGCGCATCAGGGGCGAAATGGAAGCGACGGGCCGCTCTGCACGAGTGACGCACTGGGCACCGGCATCGCCAGGTGCCAATGTTCGACGTCTGAGCCCGGCCTTATGGGAACTCTGAGCGAGTCATACATGCCGAGCAATTCGAGCAAGGTGTCCAAATCCTTAAAACATCTTAACACCCTTCACCGTGTTGCGATTTGCGTCACTCCATCTGGAAACCCAGCTCTCATCGACGAAAGGTAACTGCCAGCGCCCAAGAAAGCTGCTGGCATAGGCAGGCACAGTGCTTCCGACACTTTCCAGGCAGTCGGGGGCTCGGGACTAAGTTGGTCGGTGTCTCAGCAACTTTGCTGCGGGCATTTTCGTTGTGCGTCCTTCCACTAAGCGGAGAGACAAGCCAAGGCCGCCAAGGAGCCAAGCGCCTGGCCACCAAAAGCCCCCCTCGACTCTTACGAGTCAAACGCATTTGCCAAACGGACTCAGCTGGGTCCCCGACAAATCGCAACTGGGTGCTGCCGGAAATGGAAGCACCGTCGTCCACCAGGGTGGTCGTCTGGGCGCTTTAACATGAGATGACTGTACCCCAAAGTCGAAACCAAAAGCTGCCCGCACTCTCGACCTGTGTTTCATGGCAAGACCACAGCATCTTGCGTCCGTGACACCGTCGTCATGGTCATGGTTGTCGTAGCCTGCAAGCGACGCTAATCCATGGTTCGCAGCATGTTTCCTTCAGCCAAGGTTCTGTGCTCGTGCTCGTCATGCTGATGGTGGTGGTTGACGTGGTGGTCAAATCAACCAGATCGATCACAAGTCCTGGTGCTGGCAAAAGAATCGCATGTTCTTCATTGTGTGTGTGCGCATGTAAAAAGACGTGTGTGTGTGTGTGAATGCTTGAATGTGCTTGTGCTTGTGTGTGTTTGAGATTCTTGACATGTCGAACGACGGCCATCTGCTTAGACACGCTGAACTGCTCCAAGGCGCCGTCATCAAGGTGCGATGTTACCCCACCAGAGATTGCGCCAGGGACCACCACGAGCTTCGTGAAAGTCTCAGTGTTGTTCTGTTTTCTGTCCGACATGAAACTGTGCCAAAGCTGACTTCATCACACGGCTACACATAATACACGATCCTTTAAATCAGCTGCCCCTCTGGCAGAAAAATCCTCAACAATCAAATTGCCTCTGCTACCACTGCACCTTGTGCTTGGAAGCAGCCCCCACGCAAGCTAGCTCACTGAAGCCTACTGCATCAAACACTCCTGGGCCATGCCACAAACGTAACCTTGGCCAAGTCCATCGAAGATCGTGGTTGCAACATATCCCCTCTGTCTTCCGCTTACTTTGTCTACAAAACAAATGTTTGTGTACAAGTGCAGCGAATGCATCTGTGCTCTACGCCTTTCGGTCATTCCGAATTTCGGTAATTCCGATTGGCTGTAGTCTCAGCGATGCCAACTTGCATTTCCGCCAAGCCTCAGCCGGGAATGCCCATGTTTTCACTCTGAGCGCCGAGCAAAGCTGGTCATGTTCAGCTCCACTGAGTACTTGGTGTGCTCGCAGCACTCTGCATTTGGTGTGCCTTATCAAAATTTATCAAAACAAAGACATCTCCAGGCCAAGTCTGCAACGCCATCATGCCAGGAGACTCTTGGTCACCGTCGCAAGCGGAGAAGCATCCTTCTCAATGTGGCCACCTCAGCTTTTCTGAGAGACAACTGAGACGCGAACATGCGATTCGCAGCTGAAAAACATAATAGTTGTAATAGTCAACGCGAGTTTCACCGCGTGCTCTTGAGCCATTTCAAAAGCGCCCGAATGTGGCGATGCAGCGATGGCACAATCATCCACGGGGAAAACGAGGTAAACGTCCACCATGCTCTCGTCCACAGTGCCATTCTTCATGTTCGGGCCGAAGGTCAGCATGCCTTTGGGCAGTTGCATGACGGGTGGCTCAATTGCTCGACAAAGCCTGAATAAGCTAAAAGGTTGACATCCGTGTCGACGTATGAGCCACTGCCTGAGTTCAAAGCATGTTTCTGCACCAATGCGAATTGCAATGAGGCCGGTGCAAGCACGGCATTGAATATATGGCTCCGCAGCATACCTTCAAACATGTCTATGTCGGAGAAGACACCACGCAACATTTGAGTACTCTGGCACTCAAAGCGAATCTGAGGATGTGGCAACTGTTGTGACACCAGATCTTTCGGACAGAACCACTCATAACTCCCTTCCAACAGGCATCCAGCCAACGCCGATGCACTCCTCAGCAAAGTGCCAAATGCAGGATCTCCCAGTGTTCTGAAGTGAATCTGAAAGCATTGTTCGGCAAGTCGTATAAGCATCAACACCACTAGGAGTCTAGGGTGGGATCAAGGTGGGCTTGAGGATCCGCTTAGGGTGGGTTCGAGGTTGGAACTAGGGAGCAGTTCGGGGTTAGGGTGGATTTTGGCAGGCAATAAGATTCGGGGCTGGTTTGCAATTGGCGTTGGGTTTTGGTGTCGGCTTAAAGTTTAGGGTGGGATTTGGCTCAGTGTTTGAGCACGTTTGATCTGAGTTTCGGGTTGATTTCGCAATTCGCGTTGGCTTCGAGTGGGCTTAGGGTCGGGTTAAGACTCAGGGTGGGTTTAAGATGGGTCTGAGGGCAGGGGTCCATGGGATTGAATTGGTTTAGGGCAAGACCAGCTGACCAGCGAAAGGAAGAAGGTGCAACTTGCAAATCCAGAGTCCCTGCGCCGAAGGTAATGTTGCAGAATGCGGACTCGCTCAAGCCTCAGTCGCCAAATGGCCATGTCGCTCCAATGGCCATGTCGAACCAGTTTAAACTCGCACACTCTTGGTCAAGCCGCCGTCGCAACTGGAACTTGCAGCGCGGTCCATTTGAGAGAACTCCTAGGCCGTTGAATCATATTGAAACACGCACTGAATCTGCTCAACTGCTCGCCTCGCCATCAGCACTCTGCTCGAAAGGTGTGACGCACGTCAAAACAAGTGTCCTTGGCTGGAAGCATGAGTCCAAATGTCTGGACATTGGCATTGCCACCAAAAGCAACACAAGCATGTCATTTGTGTTTGCAGACTTACACGTGGCACAAACACTAGTCATGTCCAGGACAGGCACGTTGTAGTAGTTCCGGTGGATGTCACCTTCAGTCTTGTTGCTTAAACGTGCGCACCCGACTCTGACTGCACCATCTCAGCAATCCAAGAGCATGTCCTGAATGCATGTTCGGCCAAGGAGCTGATGTGGTGCTTGTCGCTGTTTTTGAGGTGGTTGTAGCAGTACTGCTGGTTGTTGTGGCTGTGGTTGCGGTTGCTGTCACGCTGGTTGCTGTAACGCTGGTTGTTGTGACCGTGGTTGCGGTTGCTGTCACGCTGGTCGCTGTCACGCTGGTTGTCGTCACAGTTGTTGCTGTAATGCTGGTTGTTGTGACCGTGGTTGCGGTTGCTGTCACGCTGGTCGCTGTCACGCTGGTCGTCGTCACAGTTGTTGCTGTAATGCTGGTTGTTGTGACCGTGGTTGCGGTTGCTGTCACGCTGGTCGCTGTCACGCTGGTCGCTGTCACGCTGGTCGTCGTCACAGTTGTTGCTGTAATGCTGGTTGTTGTGACCGTGGTTGCGGTTGCTGTGACAGTTGTGGCCGTGCTGCTAGTCGTGGTGACACTGGTTGCTGTTGAGCTTGTTGTGGTGGCACTTGTTGCGGTGGCTGTGGTTGAGGTCCCTGTGACGGTTGATGATGTAGAAGTAGTAAATGTTATGCTAGTTGTTGAAGTGGTGGTGCACTCATCTTCGCCCATCCTTGACTTGCAGCCGCCCAGATGACAACATATATGTATCTGACAATGTATCTGCTGCACACTGCGTCAGTTGGATAATTTACGATGCACATGTGACAACTCCAAGGAAAAGAATGCAATGCAAATTCGAGCATCGGCAGCACCAGCATACCGGGAAAAAAGACCCTTCCGTCTGGAAAGCCGGCCCAGCATGACCTGAGACAAATGTTTCAGAACTTGTTTCAGAACTTGTTTCAGCTTGTCTTCGGAACTGGTTTCAACTCGGCCGGCGGCTGGCTGTGGCACAGCCAAAGCTGCGCCAAGAACACCAGGGAGCGCA